CGAGCTCTTCAGTAACAAGAGACTCATTGTTTGTTGCTTGGTGCTTCCGCTTGCTGCCCGCCTGCTCGTAGGCTTGGGTTAGCTCGCTAGCACCAGTAAGTTCGTCATCTGGCAGCCATTGGTTGTATTCTTCGCCCCAACCAGTCCATTTGACTTTGTACCAGACGCCTTTCTTGTACTTGACCTTATCAATGATTTCTTCGACCTCCCAAAGCTCATCGTCATCGATAAGATCGGGGGCCTGCATGAAGGCTTCCGCTGCGTCACCGCAATCGCGAAGGTGATAAGGCTCAAGCAACGATACATGAAAGGTATTGTGGATCCTATACGTCGAGGGTAGAAGCAGGCGGTACGCCTGCGCCCCTACCTTGTCTGTGATCCGAAATGGTCCCACGAATTTGTGAGACAACTTCTTGCTTGGGCGTTTCTGCTTCAGGTTCTTAGTCGCTAGCATCACCAAATCGCCTACCTTATAGCTTTGAGGCTGGTGCGTTTTGTTGTAGTACTTGGACTGAGCCGCAACCGCGCTGCGAAGGCGCTCTGCTGTCTCATCCCTCAATGCTTGCAACTTCTTTATCCTGTCATTTGCAGCGGGTACCTCCCCCTCGGCGGAGTCGTCCTCGATCTCCCAACGGATTTCAGGATGATATCCGTACATTAGGAAGAACGGTGTCGTTCCGATGGAGGAATGCCAACTGTTCATGTAAGCGAACTCTGCCATTGGCAGTTGTTTCGCCCAAACGTTTTGCTTATCGTTAGCGAACACGCGCAAGAAGTGTTCTAGCACCTGATTTTGCCGCTCAGTCTGCCCGTCGGTTTGCGGGTGAAAGGCGGTGCTCAGGCGCCGCTTGATTTTGGAATGGAAGCAAACGGCGGACCAGAAGCTACTGGTAAATACAGAGCCTCTGTCACTAACAATACCGTTTGGCATGCCATAGCGGCATACTATTTCGGAATGAAATACTTCCGCCAGCTGAGCGGCATCGATTGTGGTAGATACAGGAATGTACCTTACCATTTTTGTGAATCGATCCACTACAACCAGGATAGCATCGTAGACGATGCCCTTGTACTTGCTCGCTGGCAAGCCGGTGATGAAGTCCATAGAAATTTCCTTCCATGGCTTGGTGGCGACGGGAAGCGAGCTCAACTCGCCATATGGGCGATGCCGCGGAGCTTTGGTCCGCTGGCAAACGTCACATGTCTTGACATAGTCGGTGACTTGCTTCAGGCTTCCGTCCCAATGGTATTTGCGGGCAAGCAGCTCATGCGTCTTCGCAGCGCCAAAGTGTCCTGATAACGGATCATCATGGCATTTGCTAATGAGCTCTTCCCTCAAGGCCTCATCCCTAGGGATGTAAAGGCGACTGTTATGTCTTAACAGTCCCTCGGAGTCTAAGACCCATGCTTGGCTGCGTGCGCGACGCTTGACCGCTGGCTCATTGACATCAGTTCGAAAAGAGCTCACCCAATCATCATGGGCTTGCAGGTCTCGAATCAATGTTTTCATTGGCCTTTGGGGTGCGTCATAAGCAGTCTCTTGCACGGCCTTAGGCTCCCTCCTAGGAATGACCACCTGGACGCCGGCAATGCGGAATGCGGGCGCCATCGCCGCTGCAACCTCCTTGCCCCTTTGCGACTGCTCGCCGCTAGTCCAAAGTGCGAGTTTGTTCTGCAGTGTCGGCAAAAGTTTGGTATTCAACGGCGAAGTTCCCTCGTAGTCAGGGCGCCGCGATGGCGGGTCGGCAGGGTTTAGTTTGCCTGCCCGATGAAAAATCTCAAAGTCATAAGCAGCTAACTTCAGCGCCCAACGGGCTTGCCTGGAGTTTAGTTCCTTCTGCTTCATGAAGCCTTTGAGGTTGTTGTGGTCCGTTAGGACCTCAATGCAAAACGTACTACCTTCTAGGTAGTGACGCCATTGCTTCATAGACGCTACGATGGCGAGTAGCTCTTGGTCATGGGTCTCATAGTTTTGCTCCGCAGGAATCATTTTCCTAGACCAGAATGCCACTGGTCGCCAGTGGCCATCCTCATCCGGTTGCGAAAGTATGGCCCCCATACCGAAGTTGGAAGCGTCGGTCTCAAGACGTAGCTTCAAATTTGGATCGTAGTGGCGCAGAAACGGCGCGGTTGCGAAAGTGCTTCGGAGCTGCTGGAACGCCAGCTCCGCGTCGTCTGTCCACTCTAGCGGTCCAGGTTTCTTGCCATCCTTGCTCCCTTTGAGCAAGTCAGTAAGTGGCGCTGCTATGCTGGAATAGCCATAGATAAATCGCCGATAGAAATTGGCAAAGCCTAAAAAGACTTGCACATCCCGATAACTTTTTGGTTTTGGCCACTCCTTAATGGTAGCGACACGTTCCTGGTCCATTGCGACACCTTCGGTGGACACGATGAACCCTAGAAACTCAACCCGTTCGGTGTAGAATTGACACTTCTTCAGGCTGGCGTACAGTTGGAACTGGCGCAGACGCTCAAGCACTTGCTTGACGTGCCGCCAATGCTCCGCTGGATCAGCACTGTAAATCAGAATGTCATCCAAATACACCACGCACGTCACATCCACCAGGCCCGCAAGGGCTCTGTTGATGTACGCTTGAAAAGTTGCCGGTGCATTGGCGAGCCCAAAAGGCATAACCAAATATTCGAAGTGGCCGTAGCGACTGCGGAACGCTGTTTTCCACTCGTCGCCTTCTTTGATCCGGATCCGATGATAGGCATCCTTAAGGTCCAGCTTCGTAAAGACTTTGGCCCCGCATAAGCGGTCCAGAGTCTCGGTGATTAGGGGTAGCGGGTGTCGATTTTTGACAGTCATCGCGTTCAGGCCCCGATAATCAACGCAAAGACGGAGCCCCCCATCCTTTTTGGGAACGAAAAGGATCGGTGCTCCGGCTGAGGAAGTCGAGTGGCGGATCCAGCCTTTCTGAAGGGAGTCCTCCAGATAGCGCCGCAGCTCCGCCAACTCCGTTTGAGATAGATTGTATAAGGGGCCATATGGCGGCTCCTTACCGCTCTCGATCTCAATGGCATGGTCTCCCTGCTTGAGCGCAGGCAAGATCCCTGCTTTTTCGTTGGAAAAAACGTCGTCAAACTCTAGCAACTCCTGAGGGAGCTCCAGGCTACGCCCGTTTTCCGGTTCGCTTCGCGCCACCGCGGCGCACACGATTGCGAACACATTTGGCTCCTGTTCGATGGTTCGGGTAAATTTGGCCGGTTCTTCAACCTGCAATTTGCCAGCGTTGACTTTGAACCGCCACTGCTCCGCCGCTGGGTCCAGCAGTACTTGCAATTGACTCAGCCCGGGCATACCCAACACGACATCAGGGCCTTTTTGGTCAATGGCATAGAAGAGTGTGCTGCACTTCCTACCCTGACCCCAGCTGTCCACTAACCAGTAGTCCAGCTGATACGCGCCATAGCAATACATGCTTTGGCCGCTCAGCGCTTCCGGTTGCGGTAAGATGGCGTCGCAAGGTTCCAAGTCCCATTGGACCACGAACTTTTGCGAAATCAGATTAACATGCGCTCCAGTGTCGAGCAGAGCAACGAGTTGCCTCTGTTCACCCTGAAGCTTTGTCCACCCCTTCGTAAGGATAGAAGGGATTGTCTTTATTGATCGTCGTTCTTGCCTCGCTTTTGAGGCGGTTGTGAGGCCGGATCTTTTTTTGTTAATACTGCGTCGATATGGGTTGTAGGCGGTTTATCGAGGTTTGGATACTTAGGTGTCCAATGACCCTGTTTACCACAATGGAAACAACTGTCCTTCTTGTGGTCAGGGTTAAAGGATTCGGCTTTGCGCTTTGCGCCACCGTCTTGGGTGCGCGCTACGTGAACGCCGCCGTTTGAAGTCGATTTAGGCTTCGAAATTCGATTCTTTAGAGGCTTATCCTTAGCGGACCCCCTCGAAGACTTCGAATGGGAACCGCCGCCGGAGCGTACGCGTTCCAAAATCTTTTCCTGCATAATGGCCTGGGCAAGAATTTCTTCCCGTTGTTTCGGCACACTACCAGTACTCAGGATCTTGTTCTTAAGCTCTGGTCTGAGCTTAGCCAAGAAGAAATTGGCCCGATGCTCCTCAGAAAATGGGGTTATATGGGCCTCTAGCTCCTCCAGGTAGGCCTTGAAAACAGATACCTTCTGATCGGAGCGTTGTTTGGCCTCCTCCCACTTTTCGTAGGCGAGGAGACGGCGGTTCACTGGATCCGCCACTAAATCAAGCAGGAACTGCTTGAAGAATTCGAAAGTCGTACCCCCCAGGCCATGGGTTTGGTAGTATCCATACCATTGGGTATTGGGGTCGCCTTCTAAGGATTGCATACAATAGACAATCCTTGATTGGTTGGTGGTGAAATACTCAGGACTCATAAGGAACTTGATTTCGACTTCGCGGAACCAGCGCAGGTGCTCTCCCTCACTAACACCCTTATAAGGACGCATCCTTTCAGGGCGAAGTGTTTTCGCCTTGATTGGTGTATCCGCCAGAGGCGCGATAGTGACCGGCGTAGGTGGGCCCCCGCTGGCCGTAGACGGTGAGCTGGCGTTGCGAAGCTCGCGATTGCGGGCCTCCAACGCAGCCAATTCTTGTTCTTGTTCCAGGCGACGATTTTCGGCCCTGGCGACTGCAAGACGTTCTTCCACAGTAAGGTCTTCCACTGGTGAGAAATTCTCGAACTCATCATCGGCGCCATGGCGGCTCTCGATGTCACCTTCGTTTTCCACCACACGGCCTAGAGGTGAACCCGACATCGTAACGACAATGGGCCTTTTCCTTTGAAAGGTAGAGAGATTAGAACTGTGAGGGCGTAGTCCACTGGCGGTCAGCTAGCGGGCATAGGCTACAAAAGACGTAGTGTCGTTATGGGGTTCAATAGTATATTTGGTAGTAGAACTAATCTCTAAGGAACACCAAAACTCCGGGGCATGCGAAGTAGACCTATGTCCGCCAAGCCCCTAGGCATACGGGGCACGTCATTGAAACTCCCCCCCAAACCCCCTCTCCCCCCTTACGTTTTCGGTGCCTTGGCGCAAGCAGCCCGCCACCCCCCGTGACGAATCGCGCCTGACAACCACACACCCAGATTTGTACTGTAGCATAGAAATCTCTCCGCAAAATTATTCAATAACACTGCTATCGTTAGTATAGATCCCAAATGACGATGCATGAAATTATCAAAGTAGCCACTCCTCGGATTCTTCAAGGGGGATTCCGGACCCTGTTTATTGATCAGGTGTTCGACCTCCCCAACATCTTGCGGCATATCATTCTGGGGATCATAATAATTCGGCAGGGGGAAGTGCGCGATCTTGAGCCCGTGAAGCTTCGCATAGGTAAAGGGGCCGATTTCCGGCGTCATGGATACCCCATCCTGCGACTGGGTCGAGTGCATGACGCGCAACAGACGTCTGGAGAAGCGGGCGATGGCGAGCTGGACACAGACTCGGACTTCGAGCGAGCGTTGCGGATCGCCTGGGAATTCCTTTCCGATGCCCCAATCCTTCCCACCGGGCCAGTAGACCACAGCGCCTACAGTGATGATGTCGGCATCTTCCCCTACGCCCCACGTATATTTGTCTTTGGCTGGGTTAGTGACGGGAGGCTCAGGTCCGATGGGTTCTGGTACGGCAATGTGTTTGGGGGACCCCCAAACGCCACCATTGGGAGTGCTAGCCTCAACAAGCTCGGTGAAATTTGCCCAGGTCTTGTGGATATTCGGGACGAAGAACCTGCTTGCGCGCTCCCATTGGAGTTTCCGAGGCTGTGAGCGTGCCCACTGTACCATTTTGGTGTCAGCATCATTATTCTCGGGATATCAATTCGAAGAGAAAGTATGACTCATACTCTCCGAACACGTCTTCGGCTTCAAAGAGGGGTGCAGAAAGGCGTATTGAATCCCAAATCAGGACGTACCGAGTCCGCATTCTCCAAGAGATTGTACCAATGGCCGGTATATCTTACATCCAGCTCTGTCTGCCAAAAATGATCAAACTCTGGATGCAGCTCTGCAAAGACCTGTAGCGCCTGATTCAACCCCTCTACCTTCAACGTACTTTTCGGGTACCAGGAAGACATCAGCGCTTCCCTTTTGAACAAAAGTGTCATTTTATGAAGCTCCTGCGGAATGTGGTTTTCAAGAATATCCTGATACACTTCAGGATCATCAATCGACCTCTCATCCTTAACCTCGACGAGCAGGAAAACCGAGTATTCCCCGCCGGAATGAAGAGAGAGCTCCGCAACGAGAGAACGTAGTAACATCATCGTATCATTCCTGAAATTCATCTTATGGTGCGCGCGCACCACGACCGCAGTGCGAGACTTGGGTTTCCCAAACAAACCTTTTTTCGCGTTGCTCTTGTTCTCTGTCGTGTTAAAGACTAGGTCTTCAGCAGTGGCATTCCTAAGTGGCTGACGCATAGGAGTCGCCACGAGAGCGTAGCGGTCTGCGTTGCCTTCCACACATTGGTCCTGTAGCGTTCCCCAATCTACTCCTGTCCAATTGACTCGAGATGGTTGCGCCCATCCTGCGGGATTCGCGCTTGAATAGCCGTAGAGGCCGAGGCGGCCGTTACGGTCGAAGCAATGCTCGCGGTCTAGTCCACCTTCGTGATAGGAGCCGAAGATGGGTTCAGGTATGCTTACTACGGTAAAATAAGACTGTCAGCGAGAATGTATCAAGTTAGATGGGCTGTGATGGGGGAAGAAGATCTCGGAATTGGATTGAGCGCAAGGAAAGCGATGCGTACTCGGCGGCGAGACTGCATATGCGAGAAGCATGTCATCTGGGTTCCCATTGACATCGACGCCTCGTGGACCAACACATGGCTTGCGAGAGCTGCGCCATATACCATTGGACTCGACGTATGGGTTGTAGTGCGCATTGGACAACGAGGCCGTATCCAATTTGTTCAAGTCTATGAAGTCGAAAGACGGAGGTGGAGCGGCCGGCTCCTCATGGGACGAGTTGTGCCGATACTCATCGCTGTAGTGGGAGACTGAGGGTTTCAAGGCTTGTAATGCGCCAGTGCTATGAGAAAGGTCATGTTTGGGGAAAATATACAGCAAGGCAATTAAAAGGAAGACAGCGAGGCAAATGGGTTTGAGATGGGAGACTCGTAAAGGAGATGGGAATTGCATTCCCATTTTTGAATAAGTGAGGAAGTGGAGTTGAAGTAGAGGAGTTGTTGGAGTCGGAGAGATTGAAAGCTTGGAGGGACAAACTATATCTCTCGTATTATCTAAGGTTGCGGCATAGCAGGCTTACCTTAAGATGGAGTAAATCGCGAATTCGTACGCTCGCATCATTCTCGTACAAATGATACGTAAATCGCGAGGGAAGATTGACGCAATGGGCATCATCTGGAGGGATTTGCCTCCCCTTCAGACTCTCCGCGCCCTCTTTGCCCTTTTCTATCAGTGGACCAGCTCGGCGAGCAAGCATGGTTGTATTAATAAGACTGGAGAAAAATTCAATCCTGGAACTGCTGTACGGTATCTTGCCCGGAACTCCGTACCGAAGTCGATTGTTGTAAGGAGCTGATGGCCAGCCATATCCAGGAGCATCAATCATCCCACTCGCCCTGCAGGAATTGATTGCCCCTTGCTCGGTGGAGTTAAAGGGCACATGGCGGGAGGCAGCTGATGAAATAAGGTAGGCTCGCTCGGTACTTTAGGGTTACAACATCCTGTTTCACCTTAATCCTAAAGTAGCTGCCGAACGGGAAGAGCACCCCTAAAATAGGCCCAAGCTCGCCAAGGCCTGGCAGCATCTTTCACCCCCACAAGGCCCACCAGCGTTACATACCTTAGGTAACTACTAATAGTGTCCGCTATCCAAGAGACGACTGCTCATAGCACTCTAGCCTACAGCCTTTTTCCATGTAAGATAGCCCGTACATCAATGAATCTCACACCGACCCCTCGCTGTTGCTCGGAAAGCTCCACTCCTTTGCGCTAAAGTAGTATTAGCGTGCCGAAGGCATTGCTTTCGCGCGAAGAATGCCGGCTTTGTTCGCCATCAGATGAGGCAATCAAGAACGCATCTAGATCTCCATGAATGCCGATTCCGACCGAGATGGACCGGTGAGTCCAGGCGAAGATCTCGGAGAAGCTGGATCTTCGGCCTTCTCCGGAGGGAAGAGAACCCGCCAAAGATGAACTGGGTCAAAAACGAGTACTCTGTCACTCTTCTCGGAGCATGTATCCTTTATCGCACTGTTGCCGCGGCCGGAAGTTCAAATGGATGCCTGACGGAACAAATGGTATGAGCGCTGTTGATTCAGAGGCTAGCTTCGCAAGACGCTGTTGGCTCAGGGTGCGTTGAAGGCAGAGAGGGGACGGTTAGGATTCAATTTCGTCATCGAAAGCTGCGAATGGATATTCAACGCTCCGGGTATTCGGGAGGACTCATCCGTGGCAAGGTCCATGTGAATGAGGTTGATCGAGGGTTCGTGAGTGGTGATGTTTTGCATGGGGAGGAGATAGGCTGGATTGATGTTGTTGTTGTTGTAGAAGCACGAGCGGATCTCCGGAAAGTGAAGGAGGCGAAGGAGAGGGTTGAAGGAGTCAACAGGGACGAAGGTAAGACAGAGGGGGGGAGGATGCTGGTCGAGGCGAAGTAGACGATGGAGCCCAGTAGAGATATGTGTATGCAAGAGTCATATATGCGCTTAACTCGACGGAGGTGGTTAGTTGATGTGAGGTTGCAAACAATTGACTGGGCCACTTCATTTGTTTTGACCGTATTTGATCTGCCACCAAATGCACGAAAATGCTTTTATGTACATATATCGAACCCACTCTATCAAAACTTACAACTGCTCATTCACAAACAGACCCGCCATGCCCTGACCTGTCCCAATGCACATACTCGTCAACAATATCTTCTTCTTCTGTCTTCGGCATTCACTCAGCCCAGTACAGATTTGTCGGGCGCCTGTAGCTCCCAGCGGATGCCCTAACGCAATAGCTCCGCCTCTCACATTCATTTTCGATGGGTCGATACCTAGGACATTTGTGCAGTAGACAGCCATCGAAGCGAAAGCCTCGTTGACTTCGATGATATCGACGTCCTTCTGGAGGTTTAGATTGAATTTGCCGAGGAGCTTGGGAATGGCGAGGGAGGGCCCAATACCCATTATACGAGGAGCAACTCCGGCAACAGTGGCGCCGCAGAATTTCGCGAGGATAGGCTGGTTCATCTTTTGGGCGGTGGACCGCTTCATGAGGAGAATGGCGGCCGCTGGCGGAGGGGTTAAGAGGGGTAATCAGAGAAAAGCAATTCGCGAGCAATGCTTACCTCCATCGGTCACTTGGCTAGAATTACCACCTGTGCTCCTATCGCCGTAGGCTGGGAAAGCGGGGCGAATCTTGCTGAGCGACTCGAATGTGGTTCCGTAACGCGGTCCCTCGTCTTTTGTCAATGTGACTTTTTTCTCCTCGCCGGTCTTGGGGTCTTTGATGGTAACGGCAAACGGCACAATCTCGTCGTCAAACCAGCCAGCCTTCTGCGCTCTCTCCGCACGCTGATACGATTCGGCTGCGAATTTGTCTTGCGCTTCCCTTGAAATATCAAAGTCATTGCCCACGTTCTCTGATGTCTGCCCCATGGGTTGCATACAATCCTTGGCATCTTGGTTCTGGAGAAGTGCGTCATGGAAGGGTTTCTCGAGGCGGTCGCCGCCTTCCGACATTGATTCGGCGCCAATGGCAACACCACATTCGATGCTACCGCTACTGATCTGGTTGGCGATATCTTGCACGGCTTTCAGACCGGAGGAGCAGAAGCGGTTGACGGAGGATGCGGCACTCGTCGTGGGGAAGCCGGCAGCAAGGGAGGCAGCACGGGCGATGTAGGCGGCTTTACCGTTAGATACCTCGTTCATGTCAGTAAGGGCAATGAGATGGGCCGTGGTCAATACTGACATTTCCGAGGCAAATGTCCTCTACCATCTGCGGGTCGATATTTGACTTCTCGATGACCTTCTTGAGCAGCTGGTAAACTATGAAGTCGAGCGAAGTATCTTTCATGCCGCCTTTAAAGCCTTTGGTCAGGGGCGTCCTTATGGCGAGTGTGATGACTACATCGTCGGCGTTCTTCTGGGTTCTGTTGACAGTTGGTGATCAGCAAATGCAACCGGACTTATGGCGGGGAAAGCGGCGTACATTGCAGACAGTCCGCTCTTGCTGGGGCTGAGGTGGCTGAGGATGGAGTTGAGTCTTTCGGTTGCCATGATTGAGGAGTGTCAGAGTGTCAGAGTGACTGGTGAGGGTATGAATGTAGAGGAAAAGGAAGAGGAAAAGGAAAAGGATGTAGGATGTGGGGGAAGAGCGTGACAGAATCACAAAGACAATAAGCCGAGGTTCAATTTGGGAGCTAAACTACGGCAGTTCCTGCGTACCAAAGCGCATTCTATACATTCGTTGACGTCGGTGAGTTCGTATCAATAAGCGTTGCCTTGATAGTTTAGTGATACAAAAGAGCCCTACGGAAGGGTTGGTGGTGATTAAAGATTTCGAAACACTAATAATGTTGCGCAAGACTTTTTCCAAAGAGGGTACGTTGAAATATTCCGCTACAATAAGATTCCTTTGTGCCCAGGTTTCTGAGACGTATCAATAAGCGTTGCCTGGATGAGGCAACCAGTTCGATGCATATAATCATTCTCTGGCATGGTGATGGCTGCTACGAGTCCGTGGATCGCTACATAGTCGTACACCGCGTGGTGACTCTCCTTCTCGGCCTTGCTTGTCGAAAACAAAAAGGGAGATACCCACAAGACGAGGCAACCAGTACGAAATTAAACACAACTCTTACAAACATCCTAAGAACCGCCTGCTCCAGTCACGACACCTATGGCAAGCCGCAGCAGGATACGGACGTATGGCGGGCTGTTGCTCGCCACCGGACGAGTCCATCCATCTCTCCGAGCTGACGAAAAGCACAAATTTTGCTGCGAAAAAGGTTGAAGATGGTCAATAAGATCATTTCTGGCCTTTTATAATTTCTTGTGTCCTTTGGCCCAAGATGGAGTTATGTTGCTGCTCAAGTACTGGAGCAGAACCCGGGCATGTCTCTAGTGGAGGCAGGAGAGAAGCAAACCCGAACAGCAATCTGTTCATTGTGAAGTGGCCATCTCGCTCATTTGTGTTACTTCTCCTCCGCGGCGAACCCGTCTTGAAAGTGCGCTCTGAGCTTGACAAAACTCTTTTCTGAGGGTAAAGAAGCCCAACTCACGTCTTCGTGCTGATTTGAAAGTCGGCTTCTGCGTTGACTTGCCTAGCGCTAGTAGTCCTTCACTGCGAAACTCACGTGCTGCATGCTAAGATTCTCAACATCTTAACGTCCGACGATCAAATACTTTTTTTAGATCCAACCCATGTCAATTCCTCTTTTTCTCGCTTCCCTCCACTATCCCAATATTTACACTCGCTAGTTCTCTAAGTCGACTCATGCGGTCACCAGCGTTTATCCATGAACGACCAAGTCAAAGTGAGGCTTACAGGCTTTCATTGTGAGGCTTATACATTTCCTAGCTGTCAATACGTGAGCTGGCAACTTCGCAAGGACGCCGCAATCTCGGACCCATCATCAAACTTCAAGGGAACAAAAAGCTTCCATCATTACTCGGTATACGTTGACCTTCTTGGATGTACAGCATGAGCCAAGACCCTGTGTATCTCAGGTTTCTTGAGTCATTCGGACCAGGCATGACTGCAGCATCTCAAGTCTTCGCCATCCCGGAGCTTCTGGAAAGTATCCTACTCCACCTTCCTGAACGCGATCTGCTACTTGCGCAGCGTATCAAAAAAGCTTTCCGAGATGTCACTACCGCTTCCTTGCATCTGCAACGAAAGCTATTTTTGACAGCTGATGCCAAGCTGGATGACGAGCTGGTCCCCGAGTGGAAGTGGAATCCGTTCATTGACATCTTCAGGCCCGGAAAAGGCTGCACTTACCCAATGCCTGACTTGCCAAGATCAACGTATATGATCAGCTGGTGTATCTGGCGAAACGCAAACGTGGAAAGCACGATGAGTATCGATGAATTCGTACGTGACCCTCGAGTCCCGCGATTCCCATTCACTGATGGACATTAAGATCATGCTGTTTTCGGTACAGCTTGATTTGAAGGCTCTTAGGAACGCCGACTACTCTTCCGCCTCTTGGAAACGTATGCTCTTCACGCAACCTGCGCTTCGCGAAATGCAAATGCGGAACGTCCTTTTATGTCGTCACGACTTTACCTTCTATCCTATACATAAGATAGAGGACGTAAAGGGAGTACAGACGGGGCAGTTGATCGTGATCGCTTGGCAAGGTCATGCGCCGGCTACAATGGATCACAGCATCATTACAGAATTTGAACATCGAGGTAAACCTGGGCTCTGGATACGGATGTTTAATCTGCCCCAGTTCGGAGATATAATGGTAATCATCCAACTTCCCTCAAAGGCGGTACCTCACCGGTTTATAGACCACTCTAGTCATTGGCTATCGAGCAGCATACGTTCAACCGAGTCGGGAGGCAGGTTTGACAGGGATGTGGAACGCATCCTAACATTCCTCTGAACATGCTGGATGTAGGCAATCGAGCAAAACCGTTTCGAGCAAAGCCACTTCGTGCGGAATGATAAATAGGTCGCTTATCGAGAGACACTACGATGAATTATAGCTTCCCCTCAAGTAGCCTCACATCGCCTACCCTTACAGAATACCTTTGTCGCCTATGCTGGAATATCTTTGCTAATATTCACTTCAAGGTATCAACTACAACCCTCTCGCAACTCGTCCTCTAGCAATCCCATCTACTTCTTTACCAATGTGCATTTCATTGATGTCTTGGTGCACCTAACTCTACGACATATATTTTGCCAGCCATTTTAGCGGTCCTTAGTAAGTCAGATTAGGAAGGCACCGTGGAATGCTATCAACACTTGCGTTTCGTTGGCGTTGGCGTCATGCGTGCCACTGTACATACGTTTTCCGTAACTTTGATATCTTCGGTATACACCACAACAGACTTTGATCTGGCCCGGCCTAACACCCCATCGCTTTTGATAACACAAACAAAATTCTATATACTCCTGTCTCCCTCCTGAGCAATAACAGCAAATCGATTCCACCTCGCCAGACCCCCCTCCAACCAAAGGCCAACCATGGCTTTAGCAAACCAAGTCTTCGCCTTTTCCTGAGCTACTAGAGATGATCCTACTGCAATTGCCAGAGCGTGATCTACTCCTCAGCCAACGTGTCAAGACAAGAGAGCGAAAACTCACGAGAACATGTCCGCATCTCTAGCGAAAACACTTCTATAAAGCCGATGCCTACGAGTCCGCTATAATGCTCGATACCATATGGAACCCGTTGATAACCCGCCTTCCCCCAAAAAGGCTGGTTTGAGTATCCCGACAACAGGAGCTTACACAGAAGAGCGAGTCAGAGTCCTTCTGAGAGGCAATTTTCTTGACACGACCTGCCGTCAGGGAGATGTATGTCGATTCACCCAGATTCGATGCTGGGTATATCAGCTATATGGGTCCGTGGTGAAGCTGAACGACGTGATGATGGGGGACATTCGAAGCTCGGAGTAGTTTGAGAAAGAAGTAGCAGTCAGATGTTTGGGGGTGGACAGCAGTACCATTCATGTACGGGTCGTCAAGATACCGTCCGTAAGTCGGCGAATATTTTCACAATCTCGATTTCACCAGACTAACAAATGATAGTAGAACGATTTGTTCTGGCTTGAAGAACGCACGCTTCTGGAGTTCATCTGATTACGCAAGTCTGCGCAATGTCTCTTTGGCGGATGATGAAGAATCCTTGACGAAGGTTCGGAGGATGAGTACCAATCCATCGAGGCCAAATGATAGAAATCTCGAGGCGGCCAGTAAGATCGCAGCACGTGATCAATGTAGAATTGTATAACGCAAATCCAAGGCTGGGTCCGAAACTTTCATTTTTCTTCGCTCATCATCAATCCTTCCTTTTGAATTCCCGTTGTCAACCGTGATATTTGAGTGTTCCGTAAGCTCACCACATCTACGCTGCTGAGCGACGCCGTCTCCAACACCACGAAGCCAGTGTAGCTACGGTGAACATCATGAGAGCCGAGACTGTGTGAGCTAGGGGCAGTGAAGACACAGTTGGTCATCACGTTACATGACTAGACCTTAGCTGACAAACCATCCTAGCACGGCGGGACAACCGCAAAACATCAAACATGCTTCCATCCACCGAGACCTACGGTATTCCTGAGCTGCTCGGAATGATCTTAGAATACAACAGACCACAAGATCTACTCCTTTGGCAACGAGTCAGCAAGACGTGGCAAGCAACTATCCAGAGATCGCCTCCAATCCAGGAGAAGCTATACTTCAGAATCAAACCTTGCAAAGGTGAGTATGAGCAGAAGCACGCTGTTTGGAACCCCTTCATGAGCTCCTTTTGCAAAAATACTACGGCCCCCGGGATTGGCGTCAAATCGCCAAGAATGCCTTCAGTGAAAAAGCCAGCTACCCGACAGCATCATGGAAGCGTATGTTCATGACCAAACCCGCCGTCACTGAGGTGGGATTGTATGCGGTTAGTGGTTGGGAGAAAGATAAATACGTCAAGCCAATTGCTTGTGGGTCTGGAATCACGATCGGCCAGCTGGCAGACGCCCAGGAGAAGAGAGACCTTCTTCATGCTGATTACGATGAGGATAGACCCCTGAAGATTTGTAAATAATCACAGGCGTAATAGAGTAAAAAGGAGACACACTTGCTCACTGTGACTTCCAAGTTTTCTGATCGGGACAGTCATACAGCAAGACGAACAACCAGCGGCACACGCCGGAACGAACACCCCGCAGACAGGATGGAAGGCTCGGACAGATGGAACAGCCTTCTTGCAGGACTCTTCGGTGCTGGAAAGCTGCAAAGTTTGAAGTGGAGCTTGGTCCGATGGCTGAACTCTCAACACTTGAGCCTTTTCACCACCACCGGTCATCAAACCTCGGTACCATAACATCAGGCAATGTGGACAATGGAAGCGATAACTCGAAGTGAATGTGCAATGAGAAACTCTGTTCCAGACAGTCCGTCCTATGAAAACCATCGAAAGTCACGGGGCCAACGTCATCGGGCATCATGGCCCCAGGGCCTAGATCTCGTGACCAAAAAACTTTGATCTTCCGTCTTTCCTCACCGTCTCACCAAGCTTCTCCGAACTCTTTGCTTGGTCTCTCTGCTCACCCGCACCAGCCTTGCGCTCATTCTCTCCCACATTAGACCAGAGTAAGCCGTTCATCGCCAAATAACCACCCATGACTCCAACGGCCCCGAAACCTGGCAGTCCAGAGCCACATTGTGGCGCAGAGCCAGCCGTATCTCTACCTACCAACTTCTCAAATCTCCCAGCGCAGGATCGAGCCACGCGTTCTTCTACCCAGGCCCTGAACCTGCCAGAACTGTTGGAGGTGATTTCGCTGCATGCATAGTACCAGCCTAGGATCTACTCTTTCAACAACGCATTAACAAGAAATAGCACCGGGTCGTCAAGGGTACGCCCAGTGTTCAGCGGAAGCTGTTCCTCCGCGCAGATGTCTGGGACATAAGCGTTGAGCTCTCAGTTCTGGAGTGAAATCCTTTCCTGTCTCACTTGGGCGAGGGAATACCACTACCCGTGGAAACATATTACAAAGGACCTCCCATACTAACCAAATCTTAGCATAAAGATCATGGAAGCGTAAACAACCCCACGGCCTCTTGGAAGAGAGCACGTTCGTTACCTACTTACCTAGCTAGCTGCCGTGTGCACGTGCAAATTTCCTATAACGACGGGCGTGTATTTGCACGTGCGTTAAAGAGCGAGACGGGATGGACTCTGGGCTAGATCACGACCTGGCACGAGGGGCTCGTTCGCGAGATCATAGGTCCTCAAGTCTCAACTCTAATTGAAGTGCCAGGCCTCCAAGACGAGATTTGCCTCGCTGTTCAAGACCTGTGGAGCCTAGTGTGGAGGGATGCTGGTCGCTTGTTACCACCCCAGAGCATTGCATCGGTCGCGAAAGAGACATGGCGAGGCGGTGAGAGAGGTCGATCGAACCTTGCTAGACAGATAGAATTTGATAGTCTAGTGGCACCAAACACTCGTCCAAGCCTGCTGTTCTTCGATACAAACAGAGACCTCGATGAAAGTTCTAGAAGTTTCCGATCTCTTGAACTGCGTCAATCCTGAATGTAAATGCACCGGTTCAGTAGATTGAAAGGAGTCTCTCGTCGGTGCCCGCCTCAACACTTCCCGAAAATTTAGCGTCATCGAGCGTCGGCTGAAGCGCCCAAGCCGAGTGCAGCCGAGTGTCTTCAAAAACCTGCTCGACTCTTCGTCTTCGCATTCTGCAATTCAAATCTCGATCAACCTCTCTCTAGGATAGAGCCCATTGTGCTCCCGTCTATGCAAATGTCGAATTCAGCTGCGCCAGACATGCCCCCAAGCACGATCGTACTAATGCTCCCAGAGCTCCTCGAGATGATCCTGTCCTACGCCGCCGAGGAAGACCTACTCTTCCAGCAACGCGTCAACATGACGTGGCGATGGATCATTAACACGTCTCCGAAGCTACAAGGAAAGCTGTTCCTCTTATCGAAGGTCCCTGAAGGCGATGTCGACCTGACCGGCTTAGAGTGGAATCCCTTGCTCCACCATTTGGGTGGAAGGAAAGGCGACTTGGAGGGACATGATAGATGCCGGTCGACGGACGTAAAGATCCTCGAGATGTTTGACTACCCCGGTGCATCTTGGCAGAGAATGTTCATCACTCGACCGGCGATTGGTGGGCTGTTGATGCGCGATGTGGTAGCGCACCCACTCAATAGTCGCTCTCTTTGTACATTGTGGATAGATAAAGGGATAACGATGGGTGATGTGTGGGAATTTCAGAAAATGCACAGGATGTATCCTCACCTCAGAAATGGGGAGGGAAGGATGCCCCTCCATCTCTGTGCTCCATGTTGTACGCACTCGGGTTCCCCCCCCTTCCATCATCATCTTTCGACAGCTAACAATGTATAGCCATCTCTGAGGGAGACATGTTCGAGGTCTTAGATTGCCCACTATGGGGCGGCACAAAGCAGTACCGCTTCCCAATATGCGATTACGACATCGGTAGCGGTAGTGGTGCCCATGTAATCCGGATTCCCGAGGGAACATGCGATGTTTATAGCTGTTGTTAACAGGCCAGGCACGGTCGTAAGGGAAACAGGACGCTGGTTGGCTCGATTGATTCTAGTATTTCTGCCCTTTCGAACGCATGCAAAGATAGATCAGCCTTCGGATCTCTGGAAAATCTCCGTAGGTGACAGGGTTAGAGAGAAGGGTCTGCTGTATCATGGATTATCTCTCTGAATAAAAGCCATCTCCTCTCGTCCATAGTTCACCAGGGCACGTCCGCTTTTCATCAGTTCGCTAGACGGAACAACTTACTGACGTCTGGTAAATCTGACCACCTTCACCAACCATGTTCGATGAAACATGGATCGAGCCGTCGTAAGACATGAAGCCCGCTTAGATTGGTTCATCTTACGTCCGGATCTGAGATATCCAGGTTGTATTCAACCTGAAGCGAGTGATTTGATCGGCGAAAGACTGAATCCGGTTGGACGCCATTTCTCGATAAACGCTATGGAAGGGTTGTTGGTCGGATCAAATACACATCCCAAGCCAAGCCAAGTGTTGTCCCACTGTCAAGAGTAGGCATGCGAAAAGTCCACTTGGTTGACGGCGTTCTGCGTAAATCTTTGACTGGACGGCGGAGGGGACTGCAGGAAGGGCTATTTCCGGAGTTGGAGCAAGGCTGGATAGCAGTACTGGCAGGAGTAACCATTTTTGAACCCAGCATGAAAGGCCTTTTCGTAACCCTCGGGCCTCAATGGTCTTAGTCGAGCGATTTCTCTCGAGCCAAACAGTTGTTAAAGCATGTTAGAAGGCGCTCGCGCCGCAGAGACGCTTTGAAGTCAACCGTCAACACTCTGAGCAAGCCCCTTTTCACCCCTTCTATGCTCTCCGTCCCCCACCTTTGAAATTTCTCCCGCTCCACCTCCTCACCACGACACGGTGAAGCGCTATACCTATTTGAGGTTTACAACCCGGCTGTCTTTGAAACACGGTAAACAAATGCTCAGAAAAATAATAGATTTGAAGACGCTACATGTGACGCTAGTGGTCCGGTTGATTGAGTCCAGTCATCAACCACCCCTATACGATTCTCATCTTTCACAAGCACATAGCCACCGCCGGGTGAAGATCCTAAGATACCGGGTCAACGAAGTAAGAGAGTATTGATGTCCTCTTAGATATCGATGATCCCAGAGGTGGGTGTCTCTAGCGCGAAATAAGCGAGATCCACGGCATGCTAGTCAATCTTCGATCGATGCCGTTAAGGCAAGAGGAGTTGATGAGTTTCATTGCTCCTAGAAGTCCTGCCACCATGGAGATGCAGAGCTTAGCGTCCAGGTTTTCTGGCAGTCTCAAGAGTAAACAAGACTCTTTCCGAGGTCTCCACCTCCACAATTTCCGCTCTGATGTGGTTGCTCGTACTCATTTGGGTACCAAATTCGGTGCGCCAGTCTGTTACATCCCATTCGAAACCGTGCATCGTAACTTTTGATGGCCTTCCAATTGGTATAACACCAACGTTCTCAGTGAAATGTCTCGGTCCCACTGGAGCATGGATTCTGTTCTTCCCCTTTTCCAAAAGAAACATCACGCTTTCCGCTGTGATAAGGTACAAATCGCCAATCATCGATGGAAAATCTTGGGAGCTTGTGTAAAGGTGATGTAGTTGAGAGAAGGCCTGATCGGCCCTGCCACCAAGGCTTCCGAAGATCGCTACGTCCACTCCTCTCCGAGGAGATTCGTATTTATCTTCTGTATCGACTATTTGATCTCTTATATACTTCAAGCATTTTGTTAGGTCTGTTGAATACTGATCTGGGTCTTTGATGATCTTTACGTCTTGGCTTCGATAGTGTTCCTCGACGTCGAGACGTAAAGAGTCCAAGTCTCCGCATATGGCGTTGGGGAACTAGAACTTGGTCAACAAAGAAATAACCAACAAAGACTCGAATGACAGACACAGATGGTTTTTTCTTTTCCCGCAAGGTGCAAATCATGAAGTCTATTTGCTCCGCCATCGGCACATACAATGCAACGAGCTGACCTATTATATCAGCCATGAAACCCGAATCTCTTGCCTTAATATGATGCATACCTTCGATACAGACATCGACTAGAAGGTTTCTGTTCTCCAATGGGTTATTGAGTATTATAACAGTGTGTTGCTTGACTTCATCAGGTCCAAATGGTCCATCACCCGAGCCATGGATGTGGCCGTGGGTGAAGCGTGCTGGATGCCATAGTTTGGGGTTCTGATCTTGGACCATGCTTGCCCTACCTGCTGAGAGCTCTATTCAACGTAATTTTTTTCAAAGATTACATGGCTTAAACATAACAAAAGAGAACTAATTATATCCCCCTCGATCTAGGAGAAGAGTCTTGGCAACATCTCGTCAATCGTCATGGCAGACCGGACGGAAATTTCCGCTGACAAAACATCTCGTACCAAAAAGTTGCTACTCACCTTCAGCTACTCTGACTGCACCTGCAACATCAGATTTCCTCGATGTCCTTCCTTCCAGCTTCCACAATGATAAGACAAGCACCCCGTTGCCTCTTCCGCGCTCCTATCCCTTCCCTCCGCTCCACCCCAACGCGCCGCTTCCTTTCCACCGCGCCACCAGCGCAACAGTCGCGGAGCTGGAAAAACTACGCAACGAGGTTGGGGTTGGCAGTTGGAGTGGTATATTATTACAATACAAGCACCTTGTTCGCCGAAGAACCTCCATGTTCGCTCCCTAAGTACCCCCTTTCAATTCCTGAAGACTAACAACAATTCCCCAGTCGCAGTCCCTCCTCCGAGCAGCCCCTCCGACGAAACCTCTGTCCCAACCCTTGAATCGGTAAAGCCGAATCGCCAAGACAGACCTCCCCTTCCCACGCCTCCGTCAAAGTCCACGGAACCGGAAACACTTGAAGAAACAGAGCAACAAGCCTCGCAAGAGGGTGCCTTCAATGAAGAGACCGGCGAGATACATTGGGATTGCCCATGCTTAGGGGGTATGGCGTACGGGCCGTGCGGGGAGCAGTTCAGGGGGGCGTTTAGCTGTTTTGTGTTTTCGAAGGCAGAGCCGAAGGGGATGGATTGTATTGACAATTTCAAGTGAGTTCTCCTATCTTTGACGCGCTGAGAATCTTGAGGAGGACGACTTGGGAATGAGAAAAAGAAGATGGGGAATGAGTGCTGACTCTGGAGTGACAGGACGATGCAAGATTGTTTCCGCGGACACCCCGAAATCTACGGCTCCGAACTCGAAGAATACGACGCCCCCCCACCCGACGAAGGTGCCCCGTCTCCAGAGTCGGGCGATGGACCAATACCAGCAGCCGCGACGTCAGCTGTACCTGCGTCGCAATCACCGCCGTCGTCATCTCCAGATCCTGTGGCCTCGGGAGCAGGTGTTAGTGATACAGAGCGCGCACAAGCTGCGAAGCGGCAAGTGGAGAGTGAGCATGGCGAGCCGACGAGTGAGAGCGATGAGATGGTACCGAAGGCGGCACATGATGCTACGGGTGCTAGTGTTAAGAAGTGAAGGCTTTGGAAAAGGTGTATTGTACTGTATGACAAAGCATTGAGCGGCATTTACATGGAAAGAAAAGTAGGGGCGAGTAAATGAAAGTTTGGCAGATTGGTGTTAGATCATTAATCTCCTGGTATAGGAGGTACTCATGGGCACCTTGTAAATTATGGGCATCGGCACTGCGATCTCCTCTCCGCATATAGAGCTTGCGAGCATACATTCGGGATTGTAGAGAATATTAGTCAGGACGACTTGAGTGATCGGGCAAGGTCCACAAAGCTGTGATCAGACAGCACTTGATAGTACTACACCATATGTCATATCACTGACGGCATGGCGACTAAGCAATCCCAAGCTACCTAGCGCTCTGACCAAGGAAATCGAAATGAGTCGAGTATGATTGTCGAAAAGCACACGCAACCGCCCATCCTGGCGTCTCCTCCCTATGGCACCCTCGGCGTTCCCCACGCACGTCTACTTCTTGGGGTACTTGTTCTTGAACAGGTATCTGCTGCAGTGTCAGCAATCGATCATTGCAACAGCTCAGATATCCAACAGAAGGCAAGACAATACTCACTGGCTCAAATAGTAGTCGCCCACAGCCAACACGCCCACGACTCCAGCGGTGATGGCCGCAATTTGCCAATCTAGCTCTCCCTTCACATGCTTGGTGTATGCTCCATATCCCAATGCCGCGCTTCCAGCGACTATCAACACGCCGTTGGCAATGACAACTGGATTGTCCCTGTTCTCATTCAGGTCTTGTCCAGCACTCTTAATCTCCTTCTTGGCCTCCTTTGCATTCTTCTCCGCACTCTTCTTCGCCGAACTGTAATTCTTGCTTGCGGAGTCTGCGAAATCGGAAGACTTCTCTTTGGTATAGTCGGCTGCCTCTCTGGCCTTCTCTTTGGCGGTCTGGGCGTAGTCAGAGGATTTCTCTTTGGTGGTTTCGGCAGCTTCGGAGGACTTTTGCTTGGTTTTATCGGCGGCTTCAGAGGTCTTCTCCTTTGCTTGGTCGGCGGTCTCGGAGGCTTCTGATTCAAGATGCTGTGAGTCTACATTGGTGAAGGAGGAAGACGAGGAGTTTAAAGAAGGGGGTGCTGGCGCACGGCTACCGTTTGGCATGTCAGTATTTGGCATTCTGGGTATAATGTGTCAGTGTTTATATGGGGAGGGATGGATGATTTGCGGGCTTTGGCAGTGATATTTGCACGAGCTGTGAAGAGGATATGTTGACGCGATGTGCAGAGCCAGAACATGGGGAAGGGTACTGCTCCTTGAAAGAAAATATGTTGCGTACGCCTGCAAACTGTTAGTCACGAGACCATGCAAGCGAGACGGACTTTTGCATACTTCTTCAGGTGACTGCTTGGGTCCCTTCTGTGCAGCTTGTGCGTACGACATGTCTGTTGTTGTTATAGTATTCAAAGCTTGAGAGCAAGGAGTGTCTGCTGTTCACGCTTAGCACCACGCGATAAGGACGTCCACGCATATGATGCCTGCCTTTTGATGGTGTGTAATTGAGCTGTTGCTTGGAAGGACGATGTGCAGAGATTTTGTTGAAGCAGCGATGAGTTGTTTGACTTTGGAGGTCTCGTGCAAATCCAAGCTTGAGACTTGCAGCGCTGGCCTTGGCGAAATGACATCGGTTCGCGCCTACCGCGCGCTACGACTTCTCCCGATGCGACGCAATTGAGCAATCTACAGCAAGGCTGCAAGAGGGATTGAGAAACAGAGAGCAGCCACCCTATCTACTTTGGACTTCTCCATGTTAAAAAGGCCAGACTAGAAACCGTCTATTAAGCCGTTCAACGTGCGTATGGATCCGTTAGAAACTGCACTAATACCTAACAGCGAAATTGTCTGGCCCCAACACCATGCTCAAGTTGGAGTTGCCTTAAAGCGATAGTGCACAGTGGCTGTCCTTTTCGTTTCCTTTTACCGAAGGTAATGTATGACTAGCCAGCAGAATGCAAAGAATATAATCGCGCCAGCCCCAAAGATCCATCTGTCTTGCCTCGATCTCCTCTCAACCATCCTAATCGTATCACCACTTATACCTAGTGTGTTGGCCACACTGTACAGCTTCTTTTGTGTTCCTTTCAACATTTCTCTTTGGTCTCCCAAATCACCCAAGACCGCTCGTCCTCGTTCAAGATACTCATCCAGTGCAGCATTGGTTGAAGACATGAAGGTCTGCTCACGCAGAGCGTGTGTTTCTCGGGTGTAGTCTTGTGGAGCGGCGCCAAAAGACAAGGATTGAGGTTTAGGGGGAGCAAAGGTTGAGTTTTGAGCCAGGCTGGATTGCGAGTAGGGGTTTTCGGGCGTTGCGGTATGATGCGGGCGACGACCAAGGAGCTCAGTGCGGTTTTGGGCCGTTTGCTGCAGCCGAGCGAGCATTAGCAATGAGAAAACAAGAATCTATTCGGCGATTGGATCGCTGTAGCAATGGATCAGAACGCCTTACACTGTCTTCTCTATCCTTTCTTAAGCGATCAAAACTCTGCCTATAGTCTGCCAACTCGATCCGGAAATTCTTCAAGCGTTCATGGGCCTTTTCTTGTTTGCTTGGAATAAGCTCCTTCTTCGCCATTTCTGCATAGTCGTCTATTGTGCGAGACAGTGAAGTAAGTGAGGCAGATATTTGGCCTATGTGATTTGGTCAATTTGGATGCTATTTGACGAGATCATCTGGCCTCGCTGACCTTGCAGTGCGGGCGACGAAGTGCCCGGTGCATCGGCGAAGGCATCGAGGTCGCGGCGTAGAGAAGATGACTGCTTGAGAGCAGAGTTAAAGAGGGTGTTCTGTCTTCGCTGTCAGGACAACCTTGCTTTCCAGATTGGAGCTTTACAAACCATATTGACAGAGAGGAAGGGATCGCATTCGCAACACGTTTCGAATCCGTGGACTAGCGCGGAGTGAGGGCCCTTGACGGGAGCACCCGCCGCCAGTGGCTCATGCAGATGTGCCCTCAGTCCCTGATTCTAGACCTTTCAGATAAGAGATTCCAGCTGCTGGAAACAACTTCGGCGATGATCGCAGTCTTTGGAGAGAAGGAAGCAAGGCAACACAAGATGTGCAAGGTGCTGGCTCGATTCTATGTCCTGTCTCCGGGCAGGAGCGTGCAATTTCCCGCGCGCTCTCGGCGATTTACTTGGACAGAAAGTACAGGTCTCAGACTGCTGAGAATGCCAGGTTTTATTTGGATCCAATTAACTTCTTAAAATGACGATGAATTACCTCCCTCCCAACTCACTTTCAACTATACTTCGATCATGATTTCCATAGTCTCCTACTTCCCTCACAGACCTGAGAGTCTTGCATAAGCCTATCCTCTGACCCTGTGGAAAGCCGTCAGGTCTGAATATCGGTAGAGGATCAACAAGCTTTCAGCTCGCGTTCACCGATTAAATATACACTCCTTCTTTGGTGAGTCTGCCACAAATTGAGGTGCTTACTCATTGGAGTCACACATCATCTACGGTGGCTAACCAGCAATTGTGTCCAAGGCTTCGACTTTGTACTGTCCTATACTCTGCGAGGCAGGCATCTGCCCAACACTCTCGTCAGATTCAGCAGAGGACCATCCAGCGATTTATTCTACCACGAAGGTCGTCCTCTATATCAGACCATATTGCTCACATCTACCTTCGCCACCATGCATCCCGCAATCTCGAAATCCTACATCGTGCCGGCTATTTTCCTCAACCCGGTCCTTTTCCTCCTCAGTCTCAACACCGTACTCTCACGTGTTCTACCACCAATCTTAGTGGACGCTGCCAAACAACCGCCGCCATACTCTACCTTCGGTCCTTCAGCCCAACATCCCCATCTCAACGTCCACGCTTCAGAAAAGCTCTGTTGGAGCTACACCTTCTTGATCGTCTGTGCGCAGCTGGCAGCTTTCGAAAGGGTCAGTGGATGCAGGGAAGCGGGTAAAGTGAAAGCAAGGATAAAGGGGGAGCGTGCCCGGGTGAAGAATGGTGCTCGTAAGGAAATTGGGAAAGCTGTCTCTCTGAACGGCAATGGCCGCGCCATTGGGATTGTTGAGCATGTTTCGGAGACTCCACTGTACGAAGATCAAGAGGATGGTTCCCTTGGATCAGACCCGAAACTGTGGCGTCCCGAAGTGAGCGACGAGGACTCTATTAATACTAGCGATTCAGAGACTATACTTTGATGTTCTCTAAGGTCTCTTACCCATAGCGTGGCGTTTCGGACTGCAAAGAGAAGTAGAAGTTTCAGGCCATCATATTGGGCGACTAAGTGCGTTTCATGAGAATTCATGGATCGAACCACCGGGCGCAAAAGGGGTTGCTGGGAGGAACATTCATAGCAGAAGCAGCCATTGGTTGGGAGGTTGGAAGCCTAGAAATACCCTTTATGCAGCAGCGAAAGAAACCTTTGAATCTCCGCAACTTCCACGTCGTCATTATCTCATCTATGGCTCATCTTTGATGCTGGAGAGAGTGCACTGATCAAACTCCGAGACCGGCTGTGAAAACATTTTACCCATTTTTGGTCAGGACAAGGCTTCTTATTTCCACCTTCTCGCATTAGCACATATGCGAAGGTGTCCCAGCAGGACAGCAATCCCGAGACAGTATGCACAGTCAAAGCGTTAAGGTAAAAACAGAGTAGCGTAGTATCCTGATTGGTCCACTTCACAAAGAAACAAGGCAATTCTGTCATGCTGCTTCCCGTGAAAAGTAAATGATAGCCCACAAGTAAGTCGAGAAAATTCAGCTTTGAACTTCCGGGCGATCACATGTGCAAGTTGTACGAATAGGATCCCCTTAATAGAGTTCGTTGAGAAGGTCGCTGTGAGTGTGAGGTGTCAAAAGATCGTGGAGCCGTTGACCAGCCCGTAAGGCTGAGACCCTTGTCCGTTCCTTCATCTCTATGAAGCGCTAACGGCCCCCTTAAGCCAAAAATCTTGCACTTCTGGACGGCAACAGAAACCACGACACGCCTGTCATATCCTCCCTACATATCGTTCACATATCGTTGTGGCATCATTCGCTTGCTCACTTCTCATTGCGTGGGAACATTCGTTTGCGCAATTGGTGTTTCGACCTCAGAAGGTAAGCAAACAATAAGGATTCCCCACAGCTTGGCTTGCATTCGCGTCCCGCCCAAACATCCTACGCCGGTATCACCATCGACTACAAACTGCAATCAACGAGCTCCTGCTAACTTTCAAACGGAATTTACAGGTGACTGGTCACTTCCTCACTTGATTCCTCCTTCCACACTCTGTCGAGCTCGTCAACATGGGTAAGTTGGATCATCATACCCCAGAACGCTCTCTGCCCCAATCATCGTTGTACCTGCAAGCAGCCATATATTACGAGAACATGAATAGCCAGCATGTTAGAATGTTTCGAATTGCATCATGTCAGGCGGGTCACCCGTACGAGAGGCAGCGAATATTGTGTTGAAGACGGAAGTTTCAGATCGCCGACGCCTCCATCAACGCCCAAGAAAGAACGAAGACTGGGGGACATCTCTAATTTCTCTATAGCTACCAATGGGCCTTTATCGCAAGCGCCGAGACAATCTCCAGCGCCCCAAAGCGGCCCTCCAGTACCAAACGGAAAGCCCACTTCACCGTACAATGAGCGCACCAACCCAATGAGCCCCACTCAGCAAATTGCCTCTCAAACTGTCAGCTCCAAAGACCCCAAGGCAGCAGCACAGGCGGCTAGTGACATGAGGAATGTTGTTCGGAGGAAGCTCACAGGATACGTTGGTTTCGCGAATTTGCCTAACCAATGGCACCGCAAAAGTGTCCGCAAAGGGTTCAACTTCAACGTTATGGTCGTTGGTGAGTGCCAACCTCAAGATCCGAGGACCACAGCAACTGACCGTCACAGGTGAATCCGGTCTGGGAAAATCTACCTTGGTTAACACCCTTTTCAATACCTCCCTCTACCCGCCAAAAGAGCGGAAGGGCCCTAGCTTAGACATCATCCCAAAAACCGTCTCAATCCAATCAATCAGTGCTGATATCGAGGAGAATGGCGTGCGTCTACGTCTCACTGTTGTGGATACACCAGGTTTCGGTGACTTTGTCAATAATGATGACTCCTGGAGGCCCATTGTCGAGAACATTGAGCAGCGTTTCGATGCCTACCTGGATGCTGAGAACAAGGTCAACAGAATGAACATTGTTGATAACCGAGTGCACGCATGTGTATACTTTATCCAGCCTACAGGTCATTCGCTAAAGCCATTGGATATCGAAGTGATGCGCAGACTACATACCAAGGTCAACCTGATTCCGGTCATTGCCAAGTCGGATACTCTGACGGACGAGGAGATCATGTCATTCAAAGCGAGAGTAAGCTGATGCTGGATTTTCGGTGCGGTGACAGGCGCTAATAGCTCGTCAGATCTTGACCGATATCCACCATCATTCTATTCAGATCTTTGAAGGACCACGCTACGAGTTGGACGATGACGAGACTATCGCGGAAAACCAGGAGATCATGTCAAAGGTTCCATTTGCCGTCGTTGGTGCGAACAGCGAAGTCACTAGCCCAGAAGGTCGAAAGGTCCGCGGACGACGCTACCCTTGGGGTGTCATCGAAGTAGACAACGAAGACCACTGCGACTTCGTCAAGCTACGACAGATGCTTATCCGTACACACATGGAAGAGCTCAAAGAGCACACCAACAACGCGCTCTACGAAAATTACCGCTCTGACAGACTTACTCAAATGGGCGTGGCACAGGACCCAAGCGTGTTCAAAGAAGTCAACCCAGCTGTCAAGCAGGAAGAGGAGCGTACGCTACACGAGCAAAAGCTAGCGAAGATGGAATCGGAGATGAAGATGGTCTTTCAGCAGAAGGTCGCCGAGAAAGAGAGCAAATTGAAGCAGAGCGAGGAGGAGCTGTATGCTAGACATCGTGAGATGAAGGATCAGCTGGAGAGGCAACGTGCAGAGCTGGACGAGAAGAAGTCACGTGTGGAAAGCGGACGGCCACTGGATGAGAAGACGAAGAAGAAGGGCTTCTCACTCGGGGGGAGAAACTAACTCTAAAAGCGGCATCATTGTGCCCATGACTATGCGACCTTCTACCGGTTCCTTTGCCACGGGAGGACGTCGGTGCAGCCTTGATTAGGTTCCCAGCATATTCTCGATATCCCAGGTCTAATTTCATTGGTACTAAACTCTACAGACTGGACACTGTTGAAGAGTAATGTCGAGGAAGGGCAGGAAGCAAAATGGCATGTCTGTCAAGATAGCTTTCTGAAGTGTATTTCCTCATATTCTTTAGCCCATAGCCAATCTTCTTTATCATGCGACAATTGCTCGAGAATGAGTTCGAGGCTCCCTGGCTGGTATGGCTCTTACCCTAGGCATACGTAGGCACCAAACCCATCATTGCTAGAGGACACCTGGTGACTTGTGGTTTATAAAAGTAGTGAAGACGCAGCATTATTTTGTGTCGCGTGTCAAGAAACGACTTGTGCGTCATTCAGCAGGGCTGGGAAATTTAGAGCTTCAGCCTGACCCTGTTCTTCACGGCTTGAAACTTCTTTAACAACCACCTCACCACTACAACGAAGACACATTCCACTGTCACCATTCCACAGCTTTGAATCAACATATCATTAAAAAACAATGGCTCCGCCTCCTTCCACTGGATCTCTAGGTACACTTCGCATCCCGTCAAAGTCTTGCTTTCTACCACACATGCTTATCAGAACCTGATTAGGCGAGCGCTTCATGCACCTCGCGCAGACACTTCAGTGAGTCCTGGAAGCTACTCTACCATGTTTTGCCAGCACTGACTTTGTTTCTACAGATTCGGCTGGTTTGTAGGACATGTGACGTTGCTTCTTTGCACCCTCCGCTATGGCCTATCCTATGTCACTTTCCACCCATATAGTGCCTGGGCCCGATACTCCTATCGCACCGCTTTCGTGGCTGCCGCGGCTACCTATGGAATCGTCGTCTACAAGGCCTACCGTGCACGAGCACGCACCAATAGCCGCCAACAAGGTGGCCCTATGGCCCTCGCTGGAGATGAGAATGTGCAATATCTAGGTTCGTGAATCTCTAACGTACCGCCACAACTAGTACCAATCTGATACCCCTCGTCTGCAGCAATGGCACTTGTCTGGCTTTTCGCGCGCCAGGTCCCGCTCGCACTCCTTCCGTTCATGGTCTATTCTGTCTTCCACGTCGCGACCTACACCCGTACCAACATCCTTCCCACTATCTCCGGCCCACAGCAATCTGCCGCCGGTGCTTCACCAGGTGGCCGCCCAGCAACCAAAGCTTCTCCTATGGCTGATACAATTGGCAAGTTTGTCAAAGAGTACTATGACTCCTCCATGATGCTTGTCGCTAGCCTCGAAATCTTCCTCTGGTTCCGCGTCCTCTTCTCGGCAATCATCTTCACCAAGGGCAGCTGGATCCTCCTGGGTATCTACACCGTCTTTGTGAGGGCCAGATACAGCCAGAGCAGCTTTGTACAGGCGGCTATTGCGCAGATGGTCGCCAGGGTCGATGCGCTGCTTGCAAATCAGAGCACGCCTCCAATGGTAAGACAGGGCTGGGAGACGGTGAAGGGAGCGGGAAGACAGGCTACTGATGCTACGGATATCAACAAGTACGTTGGTGGTCAACAGCAGCCAGGAATGAAAAAGGCGCAGTAGACGCACGCGAAGAGACCCGAGATGAGGATTAGTTGCTCGGCTAAGGTGTGAGATAAATGTGCTCTATGACGCCACCTAGTCCTCTCCGCGGTAGCTGCCTTCCGACAGTGGAGACGCGAAGGGCTCATTCAAGACACGCAGATTCGAGCAAGTGGCGTAACTACTCGTATTACAGCAGGGGAGTTCAGAGACTCGCTAACCGTTTCTTTTCTTTTTGTTCCCCCGTCTTTTCATGGCGTTACGTTGCAAGCAGATAAAATGCGCCTGTAAAATACACTATCATAGACAGTATCAATACATTTGAGAATAGACCGATAGTACTTTGACCAAAATCATCCGCATTGGAATCGTTTATCTGTGACTTGAAGTTGGGCGCTCTATAAGCTGTTCACACATGCCACCTGGCCCAGCGTGACCCGGGAATCTGAGGTAACCCGCATACCGTTGCGGAAAAGCATCACGGGTCAACGACCTTTTACGATGGACGTGAGAGCATCATATATTTGTTGCATATCTAAGTTATAGACCCATCACTACCATACTGGCATTGATGATACGTCCAACCACCGCCAGCAATTAAATCTTCCCTTCACCCTTCTACCAAGCCTCGCCATGCCTTCCCGAACCTCGTCCTCCCATTCGAATCTTTCTCCTCCCACGCAACGAACACCGCTCCTCCAGCATTCCATATCTAACCAGAGCGCCAGGAGCGGTCATGCCTACCATCGTCCCTCCTGCCAACAAGAAGAATGCGAACATGGTCTGCTAAGTCCGCATGCTAGCCGTCCTACCTCTTCGGACTCCAACAAGCCCCCACAATCTTCTTCCAATGCCGGCAATGCACGAGAAAACAACTATACTCCTACACATTTAAGCTACGAACCTCAACATACTGAGTCAGGTAATGGAGGTGTCTTTGGGGGAAGGCATGCTGGAGAGACGGATTTGAGACATGGCATTCTAGGAGATGCGCTTGCGGATGGGGTCTTTGGATCTAGAGCGGGCGGTCAATTGGATGGGGCAAACGATGGGAAAGGCGGGAGAGGAGACGGAAGTGGGGAAGGAGATGAAGGGCCCATGAGTACGACGCAGTGGTTGGCTAGAAGGCATGGTGTGAAGGGAAGGAGGGTAATGTATGGTCTTTTCCCCAGAATCCGGCTTAGGATGTTGAAAGAGATGTATTGGAGTGTGTCCGAAGCTGGTGAAGGTATGAATTGACTACTGATTGCACGTGTTTCACACAGGTATCTGGCATACTACTTCCCCTTCCTACAATGGATAACCCAATACAAATGGTCATATCTCCAAGGCGACCTCATCGCTGCCCTTACCATGGCATCCTTCTACATACCCATGTCTCTATCCTATGCCTCCAATCTAGGCCACATACCGCCCATCAACGGTCTCTATTCTTTCGTCTTCAACCCGTTTATCTACGCGCTGCTAGGCAGCTGTCCGCAAATGGTTGTTGGACCAGAAGCTGCTGGCTCACTGCTTGTGGGTACGGTGGTGAGAGGTAGTGTAGACTCTGGACACTCTGGGGATGAAGACGATGCAAGAAACGCAGCTATTGCAGGTGTTGTGACGGGGATGGCTGGTGCGATCATATTCGTTGCAGGGTTGACAAGGCTTGGGTTTTTGGATAGTGTGCTTTCGAGACCTTTTCTCCGGGGTTTCATCAGCGCAATCGGATTTGTGATACTGGTTGATCAGCTTATACCGGAAATGGGACTGAATCGAAGGGCTAAACATGATCCAGGAGGGGTGAGCCACGGGAGTAGTGCGGCAAAGATTGTGTTCTTGGTGACGAACGTGAAATATGCGCACGGATTGACTTGTGGTGTTGCATTTGGGAGTTTTGCCATTATTATGGTTTGCAGGTATGTCGTGAGCCTCGCGAGAGACTAGGACCATTTTGCTAAAAACGCACAGGCAACTTAAGAAATACATGCAGCCGCGTTTCCCATCCGTGGCATACGTCCCGGACCGCTTCGTCGTCGTCGTTCTATCTGCAGTCTTAACGTGGAAATTCGGCTGGGACAAGCAAGGTCTCGAGATCCTCGGGACCATCCAATCAAGCACCGGCTCACCGTTTCCATTTCGGTGGCCTTTGCAGCCTTCCAAAATGATACACATACAAGAAGCCATGAGTACCTCGTTCCTTATCGCGCTACTCGGCTTCTTTGAATCTTCGGTAGCGGCTAAAAGTCTGGGAACCGGAGGGAGCGAAGGATTGCAGGGTATGTCACTCAGTGCCAACCGTGAGCTTGTGGCCCTTGGGGCGGCCAATGTACTGGGTGGGTGTTTCATGGCCCTACCGGCTTTCGGTGGGTATGGAAGGAGCAAAGTCAATGCGTCGACAGGTGGGAAGACTCCGATGAGTAGTATCTTTCTAAGTCTTATCACTGTCATATGTGTTCTCTTCCTCTTGCCGTATTTCTATTACCTACCGGTACGCTTCATTCCATATCTCCACCTCGTTGCCATCGCTGATCCCTTCCCCAGAAAGCCGTCCTCTCAGCCATGATATCCGTCGTTGCCTATTCCCTCATCGAAGAAGCCCCCCACGACATCAAATTTTTCGTCCACATCCGCGGCTGGTCGGAACTTGCTCTTATGTTTCTCATCTTCGCGGCCACAATCTTCTACTCCCTAACCCTCGGCATCGCCTTCGGTGTCGGCCTCTCCCTGCTCTCTGTTATTCGACATTCAACAAAACCGCGCATACAAATCCTGGGCAAAGTACCAGGCACACAAGACCAATTTGAGAACGCGGAAGATAACCCCCAAGCCCTTGAATTCATCGAAGGCTGCCTCATCGTCAAGATACCCGAACCCCTCACCTTCGCTAACACCGGCGACCTTAAAAACCGTCTCCGGAGACTCGAACTCTATGGTACCAACGCCGCCCATCCCGCCCTGCCACGCGTGCGAGCACCGGAGCACAACAAAAACATCATCTTCGACGTCCATGGGGTCACCTCGATTGATGGCTCAGGCACACAAGTATTGACTGAAATTGTGGACGGGTATATTGACAACGGTGAGAGGGTGTTCTTTTGCAGAGTGCCAAAGGAGAGCAGTCATGTTTATCGGATGTTTGAGAAGAGCGGGATAGTAGGAAGGTGTGGGGGACCGAGGCATTTTGTCAAGAGTGTGGATGAGGCGCTCAGGATGACGGAGCTTGAGAGTGTGAGCGAGTTCTATAGGGATCATCCAGGGGAGGGAGGGGGTTGAGGGGGGCTGTGAGTGGATTCATCGTTTGTTGCTGGATAGCGGATATGATACCAACGAGTACATGCATCAGTGATGGAGGGGACCTAGATCCTGCATTTGCTACGTAGCGTTCTGATAGTCTTCCTAATATATCCTCCGAAGTGCTGCTGCAACAACCTGCTGACCACATCTTCCGCACCGCGATCTTCGAGTCACCATCCTAAAATTGCCACCTTTGGGACTTCTTCCGAGCCACATTCTAAGTCAGGACAGTCTTTCGCTCTCGATGTTCGAGGATAGCCATGGCCTCATACCTCAAGACTTTAAGTCGGACATGGGTTCTGAATCTTGAAAGCGACCGTCGAGCCAAAGTCATAATCCTTAGGAAATGGAAAGTCGCCGGCATCCAACCCAAAGGACTTCAGCGATATGAATGATGGATTTTCGTGGTTAAAGAGTTGTGATCTATGAGATACCTGGAGGAATAGATCCTTGTACTGCTCGAGAGGTCCGCAAGGAGGCATTGTATTGCGTTATACTCTAGTGCATGTGGTATAGACTGCGCGTAGAAAGGTGGGGTTGATGGATTTGTCGATTTGGAAACATTGTACGTGTCATTACGCAGGTGCTTTTGTAGCATGCATCAAACGCGGTATCTCATTTTGTCCGGACCCCACAGTTTACGGTTGTAAGGCTGTACAGCATGATCAACCCCAATTTTTCGTGCAGGGATCTCATGGTGTCTTGGTGTTCCCCTCAATGTACTCGTGGCACAACAGGCATATTTGCATCCCTAAGTTTGCAGTAGTGCGTACAGATTCTGCAGAAGTTTCGCCTCCCAATCAGTAACTCGTACAGATGGGTCGCCACCGAGTCGACTGCGGAGGGGTTGGAAGAAACTTTCATCGCCTTTCCCCCAGCCGTCGAGGCCCGCTTCGAAGCTAGTTCACCATCACTCCAGTTGCAAATCCATCCTATTCACACAGCACCAGAGATCGGTGGTTATCAAGGGAAACGGCAATCAATTTCACTGGACTCTCTGGTGCAGCTTCGATAATCGTGCTCATGCCCAATATCATCGTAACTGGCGCTGCCTCCGGCTTAGGCAAGGCCTTCGTGACAGCCTATCTCAAAAGTGCCGACAATTCCGTCCTTGCAGTCGATAGGAGCTTTTCTTCCTCCTCTGCACAAAACGTTCTGGAAGCAGCAGATGCGTACCGCAAGGACGTCGGCAATAACGAAACGAATACGCTTCGCATGTTTACCATTGACGTAAGAGATGAGACCCAAATTACCACGCAACTCCATGATGTCGAGGATATTGACCTCATGATCCACAGCGCTGGTGTGAGGGGTCTCGAGAGTTCGGTATCCATTAAGAGGAGCGCCGATGTTGCCGAGGCGGAGACTATGAATGTGATAACTGCTGAGACAATGACGGATACTTTTCAAACCAACACTGTGGGCACGTTCTTACTCATTCGAGCTTTGCTCCCCAAACTGAGGCCTCTTGGCGGGGCGAAAGTCGTTATCATGGGTTCTCGGATGGGTTCCATGGGCTCTAATACGACCGGTGGCGGGTATGCGTATCGTGCGTCCAAGGCGGCGCTGAATGCGATCGTGAAATCGTTTTCGATAGATTTGCCGGATATTATCTTTACGGTTGTGCATCCGGGAAGGGTCGAAAGCGGGTTGGTGGCTGTGAAAGAGGACGGAGCAATTAGTGCGGAGGAGAGTGTGGTGGATGTGTTGGGGTTAATTGGGAGATCTGGAAACGAGGATTCTGGAAAGTTCTTCGATCGCTTTGGGGAGGAGGTGCCGTGGTGATAGTGTCCAGAGTGATAGAGGGTTGCTGGAAGCCTGAATATGGGCATTGATGAACCCAGGTAATCTCACGACGTGGGTAGGAACGACATGACTACCAAATTAATTGACCAATCGAGGTGTTGCCGTTGCCAGCAAAACCGCTACAAGCGAGAGAAGTAATACATACAAATCTGAAAAGAAAAAAGAGGGTGGGGGGGGGGAAGGCTTCGAAGTTATGATTCACAGAGTCCAAGGCGTTTCCAGACCTGGCGACTGAGAATGCCTTTGGAAAAGAAGCCCGTGCCGTACCTATATCAAAGCATAGGATACAAACGAACATCATAACGCCGCTATCAGTGGCCCCAATACGAAAGGTACTCTTACGAGAAAGAATACAGCAGAAGGATTTTTGGCCTGACAAGGACTAATCTCAACCTCTTGCCTTTTCAGCCATACCAGATATGAAAGATGCGATACAGGAAGGTTGGCTTCTGGAATTCTGAGAGCCGCTCATCTCCATTAGTAAAGGGACTGTCCCATCACAAGATGGAATATAGGAACTTTTAGCTTTCAACACAAGAGTCTATCTTATGTTGATGAAGTGATGCAGAAACAAATATTCACCTGGTCGATAGGAAGTCTCCGCAGCGGGTCAGCCTGGAGGTTTTACCTCATTAAAAATGACACTCTCGTATGCGGAGATGGGATGCCGGAAACGCGGTGGAAGTTCTGCCCTTGAAGAGAGATAAACATGGACCAGAATGAAGTTCCAGCGCTTCAACAAAACTTCATTAGTCGTGGTCGGGTAGCATTTACACTTTAATTCGTGATGACTGTCTATCTTGAAATTGATCGTCATCATAGTGTTCTTGCCCAGAACTTACCTGATGTTGCTTGATATTCATGTTCACGTTGCATCCTTACAGTCAACACTCTGAACCGCGCCTTCCTCAACTCATTCGGGACCCCAGAAACAGCACCACGTTGCTCATACATGAGCATAAAGCATCGTCATGCATCTCCTACCGCTATTGACACTTACGTCAGGACTTCTGTCCTACACGCTCGCTTCAGCGCCCGCCTTACGCTCTCTCGACACTGCACCAGTCTTGCACTTCACTCTCACGCGTCGAGGTGGCAAATTCGCTCCAACTGAATTCGCACGCGACTACGTCAACCTGACCTATCTCGCCGAAGAGCTAGAGAAGACAGAAGCTCGTTTCAACCTTACGAAGAGAGAGGTCAAAGGCAACAAGTTAGTCAGGAAGGCAAAGAACAATGAGGTGGGTGGAAGGGATCCAAGTGCACTTATGGGTGAAGTGGCCGCAGATGGAGTCTGGTAGATCCCGTCCGCCAATTCTTGAGAGGTGCGAACGGCTTGCTGATTTATGGCTGTCTTGTTGCAGGTATGCGAAGGTCAAGATTGGAGATCCACCGCAAGAGATTGAGATGGACCTGAACATGCTGGTCTCGGACTTCTACGTGGTTACGACAACAAGCCGCAAAGGGAGTCGATACGATGACTTCTTCTCCCAATCAGCACAGAAGTCGCTAGATCGTCCCTACCCAACCTGCTACCAACACACAGACCTCTTCACTCTACCGGCCATCAACGATCCATTGCCCCTTTCGTTCCCATACTGCCGCCCCTCCAAGTTCTCCCGCAACACGCTTGGCCCTTCCGGTAGCTCCTTGGGTCTTGCTCCATCAGAACATCTCAGCCAGACCGGCTCAATATCATTATTCAAGCAGTTACTTGAGAAAGAAGTCATCCAGCATCCGATTTTCTCTTTGATGCTGATCAATGGTCAAGACGGAGTCCTTAGTGTTGGAGGTACAGCTGCCAGCACCATAGAGATGGTGGTCAGCCAGACCGAGAACGCGCTAAATCAGCTGGATGGGACGGAAAAGGGTGACGTAGGCCCAGTTGAGAAATTGGCGCCATTAGTGAAGAGGAGCAGACACGGTAAAGAGGTTGTGACAAAGCGAGAGGATTGGGAAACAGGATGGGTCTGGACAGGAGTCCAAGGCGCCGAGGGATGGTGGCAGTTGCTGATGCGAGGAGTATGGGTTGATGGAAGTAAGGTATTGCAGAATCAGGCTGTGGTCATTGATGTAAGCTACGACTGATTATTTCTCTCTTCGTAATGGTGTACTCCAAGCGGCCGTGAGCTGATACGTTACAGATAAACAGCCCTTTCATTCTCGCCCCACCACTCGCCGTAAAAGCCTTCTACGCCTCCATTTCGGGTTCACGGCCGCTTCCTCCTCCTTTCTCAAACTTCTACGTCTTCCCCTGCCTCAACCCACCAACGCTACATTTCGAGTTCAGTGGAACCCCTTTTCCATTCATGCAAGGAGGTCGTGGCGCCGAATGGTCTGGCATTCCAGGTGGCAAGTTCAGTCTGGGTAGGCTAGAGGCAGGCAGTGGGTATTGTGTTGGAGCGGTGGTGGAGACGAGGATGGGGATCCGAGAGGAGAGGGATGAAGTAGTGCATGATGGGAAGAAAGGCCGATCAACTCCTAGCAGAGGAGGACTAGGAGGCAACGGTATGAGAGATGTGTGGGTCATTGGAGAGGGCTTCTTTAGGGGTGTTGGAGGGGTGTTCGATGTAAGTCTTTCCTCTGCTCTCGCAGAATCTGGGTACTCGGAGATCTTTGCAAGATTGTTGAACTGATCAATTTCGCGAACAGTTTAAAGAGCATAGAGTGGGATTCAGGGCGTATTAGTCGCGAAGTTGTTACTGGCTCTCGCTAGGATATGAGCCCATGGATACAAAGGTAGCATAGCATGCAAATAACTGGCATTTACGCATGAATTGTTGGCTCTGTAGCGACTAGCTAAGCAGAATACGCAAAGATTGAAGGCAGATTCTACACACAAGAACATCAAAACCTGCAATGTTGAAGAGACTCAATATGCCTTAACGCGCGAAGGAATATGTTGAAAAAGAGAAAGGCGGCTCAAAGCTTCAGTTGATTCAATTCAGAAAAAGAGACAGGATGAAAGGAAAACACGGAGTTCAAAACTGGCCGTGTCCAAAACCGATTGTGTTGAAACTCTCAATCTGACATCGCGTTTTGACGAAAAAAATGTTTGAAGGGCAACGCGTGCCTGAGTGGAGGAAGAAAATGGGTGGAAAAGAGGATAGGAAATTCAACAGCGACAAACATATTCACTTTTAGTGTTTGAGCACGCAGTGGGTTTCTATCGTCGTCGTCGTCGTCGTCGTTTTGGTGTCGCTAGTGCGTTTTCGGCCATCTCTCCGTGGATCGTGTGGTGTGTGGTAGACTATGGCATTTGGGTATCGTCACTATCTTATTGCTACTGTTTGACTCGGATGACGGGATGATGGAGCTCGTGACCAAACAGTAATCTAGACCGCCACGCATCCCCGTGCATTTGCCCAGTCTCCCAATATGTGAGGCGAAACTCGTTCAAAGTGCGATCATGAGTCCCGACACCCGTGTTGGATGGTGGTACCGAGTGATTAGCGTCCCGGGAATCGAGTTCGACATCGCTGCCCTATCGCCCTGCATTATATCGCATGGTGCAAGTATGAGTCTTATACTCGGCCGGATGCCTCAGCTTTCTTTACTCGTGCTGACATTTTGTCGTTGTGGCCTGATTGGCATTGATTGCCGATGATATACATCATTTACATCTGTTGAGATAATTGACAGCGTTGGGGTAATCGTGCTCGGTCTGGTGATCACTCAAACGTTACCCGGCCCAGGGGCGGCAGGCACTCGGCTCCGTTTTATTCATCGGCGGCTAGAGCGTTCTGACATCCCCATCAGGTTATTGTTTACCCAGGTAGGCTGAGCCATGACGGAATTGGTCGCGTTGCCGCTGTTGTAGGTGCATGGTTTTGGTTCGATGGAGGTTTGTCCTTTGCAGGGTCATCGATGTGAATGAGGTTGTTGTCGGCCTTTCTGAGTGGCAGGTATTTCTCTTTCCCTCGTTGGGATGTTGTCTGCTTCGCATGATTCTGATGTTTGGCTGGAATGATGAATGGGAGAGAAAGCTTCTTTGATATCCAGTCGACGTCCAGGACTCGTTGTGTCTGCTCATCGCTGTTCGGATACCCTGACTCTCCCAGGTTTAATTTCATCTTCCGACTTCTCTCACAACGTACGCACAGTGTCGCTACTACCGTTTCGGTTGCCCTTTCGGCACCTAGATATTGCTAGGCGGAGTTTGAGTGTCTGATTTAAGACGGTCTTTTCAAAGCATTTAGTTCATCAGCGTAGCAAAAGTCTGAGATTCTAAAATTGTAGTTACCACTTTTTCTGACGAAAAAGAAGTTGTGTGGTCCAATTGCCGAAAAACAATATACGCGCTCGTACCGTCGGGTGCAGAAACCCCTCTTGTCCTGGCGCAAAAATTGACTCGTCATACAAAAGGGGGCTGCCTCCCATTCTTGAAAGGTCCCAATCAAGAGTTCTGTGGCCGTGTTGACACCGTGGCAGGCGAGGTGCAAAAAAAAAGAAGAAGAGGTCGCAGACGAAGCGGTACAAAGCCCTAGAACATCGACACAACAAGCACCAACAAGTATCTATCCCGCTACTGAACAATCAACCTGCAGCAATTTCGTTCGTGAAATGCCAGCTTATCTCTGGATGACATGTCAAATAAACGTACTAATAAGAGTATTCAGTGTCCCAGACTGCACACTTTTCTGGCAAGTCTGCCTGGCGTTCAACTGTCACATTTCATTTCGATATTTTAAAATTGCAACGTAGTAAGTCAAAAGGCCGTAGAGTAATGTGGCTGAGAGATGATACTGCAAACTATCTCATGAATTGCACGAATTGCATGTAGTATTGTCAATGTCAATGTTATGTAATTTTCACTATCACAGCCTTGCCCAGCAAAACGACGCGAAGTGGGGAAGATGAAGAGTGATTGGTTCGGGTCTCGGAACGATGTGATTACCTTAATTGATGTGCCTTGCAGGCTAAGATCGTCCGCTAGCTATCCGCCGCTAAATACTTATCGATCTCCCAAGCTCAATGCATGCCACTTCGCCTCTGGTCCACTGTCCACCATATTTTCTTACCTTCATACCTCCATAATTTCTGACCACCTTGTCCTCTTCTCCGAGAAAAGAGACGACAAATGCTAGATATCTCACAAGCTTACAGCAGACATATGAAGCCTCAAAGCTTCTGTCTCATCATTCACAGTGCGGCGCACATGAGAGATCCTTGAACACCTAACAGCACCGTGGAGGTGCGCATCAAGTGGGGTTAATGGATCGTAAGAGAAAACGTGAGACTGGGCTATCGAGAGCACTTCACATACATGCGCTAACCTAGCATCAAGGTGAATTGCGTGACGTCAACTCGAAGGCTTGGGCTGGCGCAACAGGTACACCATGCTTCTTGTCCAAGGCAGGGAAAGAGCTGACTTCAGAAGTAGACTTGTTTAGTGTCAACAACTCTCTCGACTCATCCCTCAAGAAAAATACTGCCTTCATAAAGCGACTACGGACAGCCATCACAGCTGCTAGCACCACCACCTTTCTCCAAGAAATCCGCTCCCTGTCGCTTCAAAAGTACCTTTCCGAGGTGATATCCGCCAGCTATGAAGGTCTCACCAAGCTCAAGACGCCGGGAGAGATCGCGGCGGGGGTGGAGATTATCGGTGCACTACATCAGCGCTTTGGACCGGCTGAGTACACAAGCTACCTCGGATGGCTGATCGGACGGGGCTTGAGCACACCGGACAAGGGACAGCTGAAGAATCTAGGGCAGGAAGCGAGAGAAAAGGAAGAGAAAGAGCGTCTAACAAGGCATAGGGTGCTGCTCAAAGTTGCGACCGAACTTTGGCTTGTAGGCTTGCTGCGGAGCTTGGACGACGTTGCAAGGCCTGAGGATGCTACGGCCAGGGGAAAGGAAAACGCTGGACCTGCGAGCAGTAAACTGGGTGAAGCTGTGGGGAAGTCAAAATCTGGACAAGGCGTCGGTAAGGCGGGGTCTACAGACGCAGAACCTTTTCCCCTCGAAGTACTCAAAGATTTGCTTGGCCATGATAAAGAGCACGTCAATCTTCCTCTGGTAGTTTTGTTCGTGAAGAGCTTTGGTTGGGATGTATTGGGTATCAAATCGCCAAGCACAGACGGACAGAAATCTGTCAAACCCGACGGGGCGATCTCAGCAGCTCCGGAAACATACGACCAGAGCTCAACTGACGAGGATCTTGTCACAAGAGTAGAAGATCCCCCGTTGACCACCACAGAACTCCAACAGCGCTTCAAAAACGTACTCAATCGCTACTTTGAAGACGTCAAAACCCACATCATCCAGGGTAACAAAAGTATCACTGCACAAGGACGACGGAATGCTGAGGCCTATGTCAAATCCGGTGAAGTCTTTGAAGATCGTCAGGCAAACTATGACAAACAATTGAAGTCCCAAGAGAAGCTAATAACTAATGCGCAAATCCTGTGCGACGCGCTGGAAAACCAGGAAATGCCAGACTTGAAAGAGAAAGACACACAAGATACGGGAGCATTTGCTGGGATAGGGCTTGTCAAGACTGGCGAATACCTTCGTGGTCAAGCCGACGGTGCAGGCATCTGGGAGGATGACGAGGAGCGCCGTTTTTATGAAAATCTGATAGATCTGCAAGATCGGGTACCAGGGATTTTGCTCGAAGACGGGAAGAAAAAGAAACAAGAAGGAGATGAGCAGGTGGGCAAGCGAGTGGAAACCAATGACGAAGTCAAGGATTTGCATGAGAAGGTGCCCTCGACTACAGCGTCGAACGATCAGTCGACTGCAATCGCCAATAAAACCGTTGGTGCACAGGTGGATGCCCTTCTAGCTCGCCTTCCGGAACTTCAAAACAAGGAGCAGATCGACCAAGCTGCAATGGACTTCTGCTTCCTCAATTCTAAAGCATCTCGAAATCGCTTGATCAAGACCGTCCAAGAAGTGCCCAAGGGCCGATCTGACCTGTTACCATCCTACTCACGCCTGGTGGCAACATTGGGAAAGTATATGCCCGATGTCTCTCACGGCCTGGTATCGCATCTCGATGATGAGTTCAGAAGCCTGCAACGGCGTAAGCAAAAGGACTTCCTGGGCCAGGTCCGAACCAGCAACATTCGATACCTTGCAGAGCTCACGAAATTCGGCGTTGTGCCAGAGCACGTCATTTTCCACTGTCTCAAAGTCAGCTTAGACGACTTTTCAAGGATGAATATCGAGATCATTGGCAATCTTCTGGAGAACTGCGGTCGCTATCTGCTTCGGAACCCAGACACGGCTCCCAGAATGAACTCGTTCCTGGAGACGCTGCAACGAAAGAAGGCTGCTCAGCACCTTGGGCAGCAGGAGCGAATGCTGATCGAAAATGCAATGTACTATGTTAATCCACCCGAGAGGGCTGCCATTGAACAAAAAGAACGGACGCCCGTCCACCAATATGTCTCGCGACTTGTCTACCTTGACATGAACAAACGCACCTACACCAAGGTACTCAAGTCTTTGCGCAAACTCCATTGGGAGGAACAAGAGGTAAGCTCCCAACTGTTGATCTGCTGCGCATGAGCTGATCGCGTGCAGGTTGTCAATATGCTAGAGAAGATCTTTTCCAAACCTGGTAAAGTCAAATACAGCAACATTCATCTGCTTGCTGTCCTCATCGGATCTCTATATCGCTACCATCAAGACTTCGTGATCATGGTCATTGATAACCTCATGGAGAACATCACGTTAGGCTTGGAACAGAATGACTTCAAATTCAATCAGCGTCGACTAGCGGAGGTTAAGTATCTGGGAGAACTATACAATTACAAGATGGTTGACTCGCCCCTGATCTTTGACACGCTTTACCGGATGGTTACCTTCGGACACCGTAAGTACAGGAAGCTATGGAATTCACGAATCCATACTAATACTAGATAGCCGGTGGAACACCGACTCGAGAGAGACTGAACCCAATCGACATGCCCGATGACTTTTTCAGAATACGTCTTGTGTGCACTCTTCTCGACACTTGCGGCTTATGCTTTGATCGTGGCGCCGCCAAGAAGAAGCTTGATTTCTTCCTGACATTCTTCCAGGTAAATTAATTGAACAGCCCATATTGATGAGCACAACCGTCTGATACGTGCTAGTACTATATCCACACAAAGGAGAATCTTCCCATGGACATTGACTTCATTATCCAGGACACGTTTTCGCTAACGCGACCGCAATGGAAGCTTGCTGCTGACTTTGAAGAAGCTGGTCGTGCGTTCGCCGACTTGGTGAAGCAGAACTACAAAGCACAGGAACAGGAGAAGCCAATTGAAGCAGAAGAACCTGACGATGGAGTCTCTTCCGAGGATGAAGCTGATGAAGATGAGCTACCCGTGCCAGATGTGGACGCTCAATCATCAAGTGACGAAGCTGAATTAGAGGTTTGATTTCTAATCTGTTACTGCTTTCTATTCGTGTACTGATCATTTATGTAGCCCATTACTAATGGCGAATCGAAACATGACTCCGATTTCGAGGAGGACATTGTCGTCACGCGTCAAGAGGAAGAGCGAGATCCTGAAGCTGAAGCTGAATTTGACAGGGAGCTTGCCAAGATGATGTCGGAGAGCCTAGATTCTCGCAAATTCGATCGAAAGCCCATGTTTGATGTTCCACTACCTATGCGTCGTGCACAGCGAGAGACGACGACCGCCGCCGATGACAGTGGCAACGAGGGCGGTACCGCGACCCCACCCAACGCCAATACCATGGCATTTTCCCTTATGACCAAGAAAGGGAACAGACAGCAGGTATGTATGATTTGGTGCTGGGCCAACGAGATACTGCTGACAAGGGGGTACAGACTCGAACCATCGAGATGCCCTCCGACTCCCATTTCGCCGTTGCGATGAAGTCCCAAAAGGAAGCTGAGCGCGCAGAACAACAGCGTATCAAGAACCTGGTCTTGAACTATGATCTGCAAGACTCAAGCACAGATGCTGGTACAGACAATGCCATTTCCGATTACTTCTCCCACCCAAACCCCAACCTCCGTGACCAGCGACCTGCTGGTTTTTCTTTGGTCCCCCTGGATGAGAACACGCTTGCTCACAGTTATCTGTCTCAAGGTCTAGGTGGCGAGAAGCACGGCCCTTCTCACCACCAGCACAACGCATCCCTGCATCAGTCATCGGCGTCGAATAACTCGAATGCCAGACCTGCGGATAAGTCTGGCACGAACCGAAGCGGTCATCGTGCAAGGAAGCTGCAACTCAGTGATGTTGATTGGTATGACCAGAAGCCTGACTCTTCCCGGAGTCGGGGAAGCGGATCTTTTCCCCATGGTCCCCATCGGGGCCCGCGTAGAACTGCTGGCTGATTACGCTTTATGTGGCTTTACAGGACCTGAGAAATGTGCATTGCCTATCTGGCAGGCCCATCACTACACCTCTTGTTATGCATCAACTAGAAACATGTGTCTCAATGATACCCGACCGTCAGCGTCGACTAGCTCGTATGGTTACGACGTGAAGCAGGCGGACAACTTCGGACCGGTATGCTCCCTCAGCTTAGTCGACGCAATCCGGCACGCCAGCATGACGAGGAGCGTACGTAGGATGGTGGTGGTGGTTGGAGATGTGTGCTGGAGACTTGAGGAGCACACCCTAGCGGAAGAGATACTTAGTACAGATTGTACCAGCCAGAGATCTGGCGTGCCATTCATTTACTTTTTCATTTGTCAGTGCATGCACTTGAGAAGGAGAGGGTGGAAGTAATGTGACCTGATAGTGTATCAGGGGGCCAGTCACAAGGAATGATAGATTTATCTGCTCCGCGTCCTGAACCCGTTCCAGTCCATGTCATCAAAGTTCGCAGTTCATTCAGATGATTCATATCACTTCTCTTGAGTAGTCCTCTTTGCTGAACGCTGTCTGCTTCGGGTAGGTGGTCCTTGCAAGCTCATGTGCCACAACTAAGACTGTGACAAAGGGTTCCCTTCGAAGACCGTCTGGTTGTACCTCGATGTCAGCCAAGCATTGCCCAGGCACTAAGATGATCAGCCTTGGCACTCTCTATCTCTGTCATGTGGCTACGGAAAAGAGCGTACCGATCATTCTGGATTTCACGAGGGGCTGCTGCGTACGTCGAGCGCATCGTCTCACCGTTTTCATATCCCACGTCTGTCAGCAAGGACCGAAAGAATAACACCTATTAGAATTAAAGAGAGGTTGAAGGATTAATTAGCTATAGAGTAATATGTAGATTACTTATATATCATGTGAAGCCACGCTATGCCATATTGTTATTGCCAGCGTGAGGGGTAGCTATAACACACTATGCTGCAGCAGCATGATTTCCAACAACAACTCTGTTACTTGCACAATCCATCTGTGCCTACGCCGCTCCACTTCTATCTCTCTCCCTCTTCCCATCAATCAAAGTGAAATCTTACATGTGAGAAACGTGGATCAAACAATTCTCTTCCGCCATTATGGATCCCTCAAACATGGATCTCACACTTGCCCTTTTCTTGGAAAATATTCCTCGAACCGCAAGAATCTTACCTGTCGCATTTTCACAATGTAAGAACTCCATTGAAATGCACTTTTGCGCCTGAAGACTTTTCAGTCGTTCAGCATGTGCATGTTCCCACGGCGTAAGCCTTAAAGTACCACTTGCGGTTACTGCTGGCTTGAAAGGCTAAATTGTCAAAGTAGCTGCGATCCACCACTCCAGCGGCGATTTCCGGCTATTTTTGATAAGGATATTGTATGTGGTCCGTATGCGGGGTATTACTGGCCACGGCTTTGGCCCCCAGGCGGGACATACGTAATACTGCATACCGAGAAAGGGGGCATGGTCAAAACGCTTTTCCGTACTAAGATGAAGCACTTTGGGGTTTCCACATTGTCTTGGACTTAGTACAGCTTACTATCGCGTCTGGCCGACGTCGAGACGCCATGGCAATCCGATCTGCCTGGTGGATGCGGGAGCCAGCAACTGGTCGGACGGGCGGTGAAAGCAGGTATCTTAATGCAACGACACATCATCTGCACCCACATCAGAGCTGGCCGAACCAAGGCTCAAACGGACTAGCATTCAAGGAGCTTGAGCGATTTCTCCGCGAAAACCCCGGAACCCATTGCTCTGTTTGTAGACTGTCTTACAGCTACGACGCTAGCAAAAAGAGGGCGAAGTGGGGCCGGGACAGGCAGGCCAGATCTTCGGTAGAGTTAGAGACACTCTTACTGGAGCAGGTACGCCATCTGTGTTTGATGATAAAATAAAGAAAGTGTTGTGCTCATATGAAAAAGCGGCCCGAGGAAACATACTGTGCGTTATAGTACGTACTCCTTGCATTCAGATGGTAATCTTACAAATCCATTGATGGTATTGTACGCACAGTATCGTATCCAGTCTTTCAGCAGAAGCCCTCCAGATGCTTGGCTTTCATCTCAATATCACACCTCGCTTTTTCAACTTCCCCTATACAATTCTGAGTACTGGTGTGCCAGTAAATGATTGTGCGTCGCTCTGTAGCTTACCAAGCTGCCCAAATTGCAAAAATTAGCTGACAACCTTCGAATAGTTGTCTTTTTCGGTCTCCAGGTCATGGAAAGATATGGCCATAACAATCTCCCTACAGAAGCCAAGCGCAGCAGCAATTCTCCGAAGATGACTTTCCGTACCAAGAGCGGCCAGTCAAGCCATACCTGGCATGTGACGCGGATCAATGTGGTGTTCATAAGAATTCCCCTGGAAAGGTATGCCGAAGGCTGTGCTTTTACTGTCGCCGGCTACGTTGTGAGCTACCGACTGATCTTTAAAAGGCCGCGTTATAATGGAGTGATAGTATTTGACCCTGCCGACCAGGCTTTCGTAGAAGCGCTTCTTGCACTTGCCGCAAATGTCGAGGAGGAGCTCCCGGGGCTTGAAGAGCATAAACTTGGGCTGTGCGATATTCTAACCAAGGTATTCTATATCATCAGGTCAGTCATGAGCACGAGCATGAGCACGAGCAATAGTACCTAGTCCCTCAAAATTTCTGAGTTAGGGCGCTGAGACAAATACAGTTTTACCTGGGGCTGTTTCCTCGAGGAATTGGAAGAACATCTCGACGTCCTGGTAAGGAAACCTTCCATTGATTGAAACTCTTCGAATTTTGGCAGACTTCCTAATCGCAGGTAACGGTAAGCAGAACCAAAAGTGCGTAGAAGAGGAGCTCTCGCCCGATGACCAGCTCATCTACACCCGTGAATTACATAGACTGGTGCCGCTGTTTGGCGAATCGCGTCGACGCATCCTCGCGGTGAAAGACACAATTCAGCAAATGCTGGGCCATCCCTTCTTCACCAGCGTCAACGCCCACCAGTCAATGACCGCGTACCTTCATAAGACAACGGCTGCGCTAGATGATTATAAGACACGGTCGCTTGAGCTCTCGGAACAGACTAATAACTTGATCAGCCTGGTATGTATTGCCACCTGGTCGAACCAGTATTCAGGCAGACGAGATATGATAGACTGATCCACTCCAGATTTTCAACATCGCAACGCTTCAGGATACTCGAGTCGCTGTGGAAGAGAGCCACGCAGCGAACGTATTGGCGGCGAGCATCCGCCGCGTCACGGTCCTAACCTTCATTTACCTACCATTAATGCTTTCAGCAGTATGTGGTTGGCTGCCGTCCCTCGTCTTTCCACCCAAGAGCTAACAAAGAGTAGTCAGTATTTGGCATGAACGTGTTCGAGATCACTGAAGACAAGTCCAACCACTCTATCTGGATTTTTGTTGTAGTGTCTGCCGTTCTTATGCTTTTTACTGTTTTAACTTGGACCACTTGGTCAAGGGTGACTGACGATAAGCAACGCCGAAGAGATCTGAGAACTAGTCTGAATGCCGGGAACCTCGAAGCTTAGAACAGCTCTATGAGGCGATATTGTACTACATTCGTGTGGCTGTCAGGCTCTCCACTCATCTTGACAGTAACAGTTTCATTGAAAGGAACCGTCGTTGTGCTAGCTTGGTGAGATTATACCGGTGGAATACAACGGGTAAGTTTGTGTTTCCGTGACAGAACTCGCCCGTGGTCTCGTATGAATAATTAGCCAAAATGATTGGCGGCTCCGTTTACTTCAATCATTCGAGGCTTCAGTGTTCTAGCGCTGAGCTTACACTCGCAAAGTGGAATATGTGAGTCCCGGCATTAACTTGCGCAAAAGTAGTTCCCTTTCAGCGGGAGTATTTGCAGTTTGGTTTTACCCATTTACAAGGGATAAGCGAAAAACATCTGGTCGTTAATGACGGCCACTGTAAACCGATCTGTGTTCGTCCCCTAGTAGGATGATGCATGTTGTAGGTAGTATCAGCATTTCTGTCTCATCTGTCATACATGGTTTCCGCGTCTTTCATCGCTCACAAGTCGCACCCTGGTCTTGAATTCTTCCTCCTGGTGGAAGCTATCGGTGTGACTATCCTCTCACTTGGACAACTACACGCACTTCGTGTTGAGGTCATAGTCATCAGTCCGAGCCGTTCACTAGCACTAATCGTAGTCTGAATCAGGCCGACTTAAGTGATATCCTCGTGCTCTATCTCGCGTATCAACAATAGAAGTAATCGATACTCCCCAATGGAAAATCACAACTCACTACCATCGACATCTGGATTTTCGAATGTGATACTACAGCGATTTAGACTAGAAGCTACACACAATATCAAAGTGGAGGTTTTCATCCTAGGCGGCACGTGCGCTAGACGACTGCCAAATCAGGTCCTCTGCGGATAGTCGCTCACGAACAGTCCCCTTTTGAGGCTGAATATTTAGCAGCGGAGTCACCCGTAAGAATCAGCAATTTGATTGTCGCATATGAAAATTGCAATAGTTTAAGGCAGTTCTGCAGGAGAGCAGAAAACGGATCCGATCACTTCAACAGTTAAGGCTATGTAAGGATCTGCGCGCAATTACCCTCTCTAGACCAGGTAGGGTAGGGGCATGTATGAATCCCGAAACCACGACTCGTCAAAATGGCGACAGGAAACGAAAGCTAAAGTATATCCCAAGCAACGGTGCTGAGCATTAGCGGCACCGCTTTTGAGCAAGCATTACCCTGCACGAACCGTAAAGGTTTCATGAGGCAGTTGGGACTAATGCACGCACGTTATCCGTGCATCTGAACGCAAGGCTGACCATTCAGCTGAGACTGAACGACAGCGATAATAGCGTTCCGGGTTCTCCATTCGCTAGGACTCAAAATTTCTATCCGATTCTGAACGAGGCTACGGTACTAAGCATGCAACCCCCAATTCCACGTGCTGAGGCAGCGACGTTCATACGCCGACCTCTGGTCCGCCTGTCAGCTGATGCAAACCGTTGCGCCATTTTTTGGTCTATACCTACGGAGATTTCCTGGCCATTGCATCGCATATCCACACCATTAACCAATACGTATAGGTCAATCTCCTCCGCACCCCGCCTTTCACTGCCTCCACAGCGATATGGTGGTGCCCTTCAGATCAGGCTGTTTCCACGCCAATTTCGCCTTCTAAGGTTCATTCATTATATACCCTCTTTATATGTAAGAAAACTGTCATTCGCGAACGTTGTACGAAGAAGTTGCGAAGACTGCGTGCCCAAAGCTTAGCGTTATGGCTCTTTTCTGGATACGTCTAAGCCTCTACATCTTCCCCTTCCTCCGGATATTAATCGCCGCCAGCGGGAACTGCGACGTAGCACCATTGTCGCTGCCGTGGAGCAATGTTACTGTATCTGCCAACGGCGTTGCTGTTGCGAGGGGCTTAGAACTTGGCATCGGGTCTCCCAATCAGATCTTTTCTCTCCGACCCTCAACCACTCTCAATAACACTCGTCTCTCGAACGTACTCGGCTGCGGCTCGGAAGCGAATAATTCATGCGTTGGTGGAAAAGGCGGCGTGTACTAGTACGATAGCTCGAAGTCATCGACCTTTTCAGTCTCGATCAAAGATCGATGGAACGGCAGCGCAGCGGATACTGAGACTGCCACTGGCTCTTACGTCTATTTAAATGACTTCATTGATTTTCAATCCAATGACAGTATATGGGGTTTTCCTTTAGTTGAAGATTCTGACTTGGTATCCGGTAGGTCGTTGAAATCAGCTCAGCCCAATTATGCAAGAACAATGGGACTTTGTGTACTAGGATACATTACTGGATATTTTAAAACAGGCGTGATCCATTCTGAGTTAAGGGTTGGCTGACTTTTGTCGATATGCTTTATAGGGACTCAATCTGGTCTCCCGCTCGGTCAGAACTCCTCTTTCCTGGCAGCTGTGACCGAAGCCAACGTGGCGCCATCCAAAGCCTGGGGATTATGGGCAGGAGACCGGTCGCTATCACCCATCGACGGTGCTCTGACAATTGGTGGATACGATCCTGGAAGAGTTGCTGGAAATTTCGCCACGTTCCCTCTAGGAACTTGGACACTTCAGCAACCCTGTCCACTCCAGGTCACTGTCATTAGTATCATGTATAACCAACCAAATGAAACTTTTGAATTGCTTTCGTCCGAGAACATGGTTGCCTGCATCGAACCTTTTCAGGACCGCTTCACCTTCACACCGGATGTGGTTAACAAAGTCGCAAATGTCACCAGCTATGATTCCTCCTACCGTGGCCTAACCTATCCCGTAGCCCAGGCGCCAGACGGTAATATGACAATAACACTTGAGAACAACTACACAACTGTCATTTCAAATTCCAAATTCGTCGCTTTAGAGAGAGGGTCAGATCAATTCGGACATTTTCAGATCACAAACTCATCAGTCGTGGAGACAGAAATCGTGTACAACGCCCAGAGTGACCCTTCAACCGTCCAGCCAATCCTAGGTGGCATATTTCTAACATTCAACTATTTAGTCGTCGATTATGAGAGCGACCACTTTCAATTAGCACCCGCCGTGCAAGGAAACCAGCATACTGGCTCACAAGCAGTTAAGGCAATTTGCACACCAACACCAACAAGCAACCCCAGTTCTAGCAGCTCCCCTCCTCTAAGTTCCTGGAACAAATCTAGGAAGACTGGCATTATCGTCGGTGGGACGGTCGGGGGGGTAGCAGGGCTGGCCATCATGGGAGTGCTTGTGCTTCTATTCCGTCGTCACCGTCAGCAACAGAGGGTCCAGGAATTAACGATAGAACCAAGCGATAGAGGGGCTCAGCTGTCGCCTAGGCTGCTATCAGTTACCCCTTCCGAAAAAGTGGCGCACTCATCGCCATCAGAGCTGCCTCTGGTATGATACGCTTCTCTAAGAGTCTTTTACGTGGGCTAACAGATCCGCGACGACAGTCTCTCGCTCCTGCCGTTCATGAGATGCCAGGGAATCCACGCTCGGGCCTACATCCTCGTGCCGTTGATCGTCACAGTGGGACTGTGGGTGGCTCGGTCTCATAGTGGGTCTCAGAGTGGCAAAGAAGACCATGGAAGGTGGCAAACAGAGACATTTGTTAGCAGCGAATACTACACATTCTTAGCGTACATCAGTGAGTGACTCTTCATTCACTTTCGATCGATGTCCGCTGGTCCCTAGGCCAGCTGGACGGGAAAATCCTCATGTTCTTCGCGAGAAGAGGCAATGTCCTCGAGTCAGACCGGTAGATCGCAATCCTTACGCAGCCCGGCGCCGGAGGCCCCTGGACTTTCCTGGGGTTGTACCAGGGCGACAGCTCTCGCGCTCCTTACCCCGGCGAGCCTTGACCTCTATAAGAGTATGCAGTCCAACGTCGTCGAGTACTTGCCACAACCGTCTGCATACGTAGCTTCCTGCCCACGGCTTCCCTGTATGTACGGGCAAATTAAGTAACTCATACATCAAACTATGAAATGCTTACCGAATCATACCGGTGTGGGTATGAAAATGTAAGACGGGGTATGAATCTGTAAGATTCCCACAGTCGGGCTAATTAGAATCATACCCCGAAACTATGAATCCTTACCGAATCATACCCTAATTACTGAATCATACCCCTACACCAAAATTTGGGGTATGATTCGGTAAGGATAATTGCTGGGGTATGATTCGGTAATTTACCAAACTTGCTGTGTAGACTATTGAGAGTGAAGACTGTGTGTGAGAGTCCCAGACTGGGTGTAGACAGGCTGGGGGGCCAAATTAGCTCCCTGTGTTAGCAGCCCCCACGGGGGCCCTGCGACGGCCCTACTTTATCTAAATAGGGGTGTCTGGCTGTCAAGCGCAAAAAGCCTGGTCCCGGGCGCTGACAGCAGACCCATATTAAACCTAAATAGCCCCCCGAGAGAGCGCAACACCCACTGGCTTTCGTCTGATATTTAAGCTGGTAGGTCACCCATTAAATGCGGTCGGAATATTTCCTCTTTTCTATGGTCGGATGGCCCAGGTCGCGAATTTTCTCCCTTGCGATTTTTGTCATGAATGGTAAATTACCAAATCATACCCCAAGTAATGGCAAATTACTGAATCATACCCCTAGGGGTATGATTCAGTAATTAGGGTATGATTCGGTAAGGATTCATAGTTTCGGGGTATGAATTAGTAATTAGCCCCCACAGTCTGGGGTATGAACATGTAATTTGCCCACACCGCTCCCAACCAAATTTTGGGATATGATTTGGTAACCTATCATCCACAGGGGTATGATTCGGTAATCCATCGTGTTCAGGCATATTTGAGGGCATATCGATAGAACATCGATCAACGCTCGTCGCCGTAGAACTAGCTTGTTCTAAAATACGAGTACGTTGCGTGACGGGGCGGAGTAACCCGGGGTTTCGGGGCGGCTGGGTAGCCAACCCGGAGCCCGCCCCCCCTGGAGCCCGCCCCAAGCCGGTAGCCTAGTAGCCCCTAAGTAACCTCCTTTACTTCACCGGAAGGAGCGCCCGATGGTGTCATGAGTATGATGCGTAGCTTAGAAAATGCTTCGAGGTGGAATCATCAAGAGTTATGATTGGTAATAACTCAATTGCTATGATTACTTTACAAGCTTAGCCTTTTTTTTGTCATCTTTCTAATTGTCTATCCGTGGATTAACCCCCTGGAAAGGAAGACGATACTCACCGAACCATTATCAAGAGGGTATAGATCGGTAAGCATTTCACAATTTGGAGTATTGGTAAGTGATTTGGCCCTGTATGTACCGTTAACATTCGTAAATTGAAGATCGCGCATCGGTGTTATAGGTATATCCTACTTCCTTCTCGGTGCGCATGTATAAAGGCTGACTTACCTGAATTGAATAAAGTACCTCTCGCCGACATTGTAACCACTCTTTAAAGGTGAGCCGAGGTGTAAGACTGAGTCTGAAGGATCAACGGGGACGAGTTGTAAAGCTAAGCATCGTCTCGGCATTTGGCGTCGATTGGCACAATGCAGTTGTGAAGAAGGGGAAGTATGCTCCGGAAGATCGTCGAAGGTTGGTCAATGATAACGCAAAAAGCCAGGCGGCTGTCAGCCTTGACCTCCCACTGCAATGCCTTACCCAGACCCCGCATGGACTCGGGCCTTATCTTCCACCCAAACGGAACGCGAAGAGATCGCCTTTGTTACCCGGCTTGTGTGGAACGAATGTTCCTCATGTGGGGGTCGTCTTACCTTCGTTGATTTCCGGCTAACATGAGGGTCTGACTGGATAGTCCTCTGTCCAAAAGGAGAGCTGCATATCTGTGCGTCTGTCGATCACTTCGCACGGGCCTTATTCGTGCAGACCGCCCTTCTGCGCTTCTATCCGGAACGTTTTTCGTAACAGCAATGTAGATCCGGCCACGCAGGGTAGTGACGCATCTTCGTGTCATCTCAGCCTTCATCAGTGGATACTTTGGGTATGGAAGTCCACGGAACATTGCGTACCGGCATGGTACCTACGAGAATATTGTGAGGAGGGACGTATTAATTCATCCTATCTCTCTCCATCACCTCTCCAGCTGCGCATCATCTGGTACCGCATATGCCACTCACCCTTGCGAAAAAGCCGCTGTAAACAGCACGTAGCCAATACACAGGATTCGGAAAGGGACCACATGCACCGCTGGCTTCGTTGGAACACTGCGCTTGCGTAAAGCATTAGTACGCGCTTCTCTCGCCCAACGAAGCAGGTTGCAGACAGAGGGATCCCATTGTCTTCGTTGTCAATTGAAACTTGGCCTAGCACCCTTGAAACCGCACATCATGAAACCCCTGATACTGTTAGTAGATGGCCATGACCTCTTAAAGCCGTCTGAGCTAGATACAAACCGTAAGCAGCATATTGCAGTGTGTGCAGATGGGAGCAGTCAGCAGCGTGCCCTTTTCGGAAGAGTAGTACACGAGTTATAGGAAGCGAGATCATGTCATGCAAGTTACTGGAGCGTATGTACTGTATGGCCTTGCTAGAAACGGTAGGAAGGGTAGAGAATGTCTTCCGTGCCTGAATCGAATGTCCTGAGAAGATGCATTCTCTCATCGTACGGTACGTATGCGGAATGCGACTCCGGTCGGGTGAGCTCCATTTATAGTATGTAGGGATGATGAGGTTGAAGCAAACAAGCAAGATGGCAAGTGCGGTCCGGGGGTTTCTGTCTTATTAGAGACGCTGAACTGAGCCACTGCACAGCTTTATTTGGGCCCCTGGGTTCCATTTCATGAATGTTGTCGTGCCTGGTGTGCTCTAGCTTTTGCCATTATTGGACACTGGATTGATTCTTTTCGTCCGGGGGGCGCAAGATTTGATCACGGGTGAAAGTGCAAGAATTGGGCAGAGCAGCTTTGTGCTTCGGCTTCTGTATATACGGATTTGGCACACTTTGGCAGATACTCCTCCTGTCATCAACACACGATAAGAGATCAGAAGGCTAGTGCTGAGGCGAAGCATCAGAATTTCTTTGCCTTCTGGGCCCTTAGAATCAACGCTGGGACTTCTTAGTCTCTCAGTTCGGGAAGCTTTGATTCTGATCTTGTGCGAGATCCTGGCTTCACGGCGGTCTCACTCTGGGCTTCTGCGGAGGAATCTGAGAATATTCCTCCACTGATGACGCGTCCTAGATTGATCCAGACATGCACTTTTGAGAGGGAGTGAGAATATTAGCCAGTGCAATGGCCCCGTTGTCATGACTGCATTATGATTGTGTTCCTAAAAACGAGAGTCGTTAAGACAAAATGCTAAATACCATCTCACTCCGTTCAAAAGGACTGTATTAGAGCAATTCTCAACCGGCAAACCGCTTCCTCGCCACCCTCCGTCATCGTGCCAGTCCGTACTCATTTTGATGCCGCTCCGCCACTCCATTCCGAAGCCATGTCCGTTGTATTGGCGTCCAAGATCCGCGAGATGTTGTATACTGTTTCGAATGGGGGCTCGCCTAAGAGATGTGAGGGAAGTACGTGGGCCAAGTTGGAACATCGTAGACCCCGGCCGAGAGATGTGAGAGGTTGATGAAGCATTCGACCACCAGGTAGGCTCGTGCCAATATGTATGCCACAAATATCAAGACGAGAAGAACAAGTAGAGAAATGAAGATAGACGCTTAATCACATGCTACTCAAGAAGCTCAGATATAGATCTTAACGCAAACTCGTTAGAGTAGAACTGAAGAGGTGTATACAACGAAGAGGACAGGAATCCCGCCCATCACTATGCAAGCGGAGATCCGCCACAACAGTTGCTCAGTAGATGAATCGAAGTGTGCAAACCATGCCAATGCGTGGAGTCCACCGTATATAAATGCTGCCGCACTGAAACGGAGGGCTATTGAAAATTCTACCAATCGATCTATATCGGGCCAGTTTTTGCATCGCCGAAGTGTCAAAGAAAGAATAAAATTCATTCTGATGGGCGCGCCAGGCCATTGTCCAACGGTTGACGTCTTGAGTTGTGAGCCTAATGTTCGGAAGAGGTAGATGTGATCCGGTGTAATTGCCGAAAGACTTTTTAAAATTGCTAGTAGACGTTTTATCGATTCGATTGACAATGTTTGTAAGGGTTTGCGCCTTGAAACCTGTCCCCTGTAGAGTTTGACCGGACTTCAAAATAGTCAAGCCGGTTTCGTCGTCTCTTTCATGCCTTGTTTCTTGCTCTAAATGTGTTTCGTTATTGCGATTGTCCTGGGAAAGAATCGACGAGACTAGCATCCGTTTCTTCGTACGGCAAAAGCAGTTGCTTGTCTTCCTGCGGTAGCAGTATTAGCATCTGTGGTCCAAACCGAGGTGGCCATTTAAGATTTTTTTTTGGCAATTACTCTTACATCCATGCGAAGAATCAATGCAAAGAACAATACATGTCAAAGAAGAAGATGTTAAGTCATCAATGGCACTCTCTGTATTCGGCGGAGAAAGCAGTGCAAGAATACTACCCAATGAAGCGATATTGAAAGATTCTACCTCTGAGAGTGTCTGGAACCATTGGTCACTTTCTAGCCAATTCCTAAGATCACGCTTGAATGACTCGGCAGCAGATGATCGATTGTTGTACATGAAGAAAAAAGAGCGAATATCCCAAAGGACTTGACCCTGGATCATCGTAGGATAGTCTACTTCGAACGGCTTTTCCCACCAGAGAATGTATACCAGCACCGCACAGATCGCGTGACCAACCGTGTTGAGCTCCAGCAAACTAATCGGGATGCGCTGTATCACTGTACAGGGCTGTTAGGATAGCTTCCTCGAGGTTCCACGGAGGTAGGGTAATCTGTCTACATACGACGCGTCAAGCATTGTGCAATGAACCATAAGGCCTGGATGCAGACAAGAGCCTTCGCGAGTCCATTGGCTTTGCTTTTCGATTCTATCTCTTCCTCTGAAAGGTTCGGGATTACGTTGCGGCCGATCTCATGCTCTGATAACATAATCAGGTATTCCATCAATCTTACCAAAAAACCAAGTCTCACTGTTTTGGGAAGGTAAGAATCTCTGGGATTCGGGAAGGTTTCCTGGAATTTCAAAGGCTATTCCACCCATTAACGCGTAGAATCCATGCACCATATTCCATGGGTGACGGTCCTCAGATGAGGGATGTCTCGGAGCTTCAAGAGTCGGTTGCTATTAGAAGATCAATGCACTTCGCTCAAGCGGCACAGTTCTAATCGTTCCAACTCACCCGAACAGGTTCTTGGTTACGTGGCATGAACACTCCTTTGAACCCTGTGACAGCCTTTTTGGCTATTGAGGGAGGGTTCGGTAACGCAAAGGCCTTGTTGACCTTATGCATTATGGAGAACGCCTGACGCCTCTGGTACCTGCCATTCATTAGCCTACACTATTTCGACTAATTGTGGTAATTAGCAGGTCCCAAATCCGGCGATCAAGATGTTGTTCAAAGCGCACATACCAGGCGGTGTAAGCGATCATCTCAGGGGCAAGAAGTGCCAAAACCAGCCACCCAACCTTCCTCAGTCTCGGTTTCCAAACGCTTCCAGGTGGAGAAACATTAAGATGCACGGCGGTCCAGACGCACAGTAGCATGGTAATGATACATGTGCTTAGGATGTCAAAGGTGCCACGAGTGGTAGGACTGGGTTTCCAATGCACTAAGTTGGTGCTGTTGCCAAATAGGAGCGAGCTCATCTTGAAATTTGAAGCACTGGACGATAGATTTTCGTGGTGGCTATCAGTGAAGTCTATTAAATAGAACAATTCATCTAGGTAAAGTTGTCTCGAGGGGTATATGTATGGGCTGGGGCATGGGCAGAATTTTAGCATAGCCTTATTGTCAGCCTTGAGCTGGTCTAGGCACGGGCCTTGATTGGGTACCAAGGGGCCGGACCGTGATGGCTTGGATGACGATACAGTCGATCTGTAAGCACCTTATTGAACAAGTCAGCCAATCCAGGACATGAGATCACACCAGTTTAAGATAGATTGATTGATTGATTGATTACATCATACTACCCTGAAGTCTTACCCTAGTGGCCGACTATGCGAATTACGTAATCTATCTGATCCTTTTAGCTAATTATATAATCTCAAATAAATAAGGCTATATAAGTTATCGTTATAGTTCTACGTTTTATTATACTTAATTCTTAAAAAGAGAGTATACTCTATATCGCTAGGGCTCTTTTATCTTAATTATATTCTTCTTTTTAATCGCTTATTCTAGTAAATTCTTATTATTAATTCTTATTAAAAGCTTAATATTACTTAATAAACTCTATATTTCTTATAAAGTTCGTCGCTATAGAGGTATAGCGTAACTTTATTAATATATTCTTATAAATAATAATTCTCTCTTTTATCTTTCTTCTCTCTTCAATTTATTATATTCCTCGCTTTTTATTAAATAATCTATATTTATAAAGAATATATTAAGCCGTCTACTTCGCTTTATACTTATATTCTTTATTCTCTATATTCGATATTTATCGATTATAAAGAAAGGCCTTAAGATCTATTTTCTCGATCTTTATTTACGTTATTAGCGACGTCTTAGCGCGCTTAACTCTCGAATATAGAAATTATATTTATTTCGACGATATTAATTAAATTCTTCTAAGAATATCATCTTACTTCTTATTAATCTATTTAATAATTTATTATTTTATCGCGTAGTCTTTAATAGTTATCTTAATTATTAATATTATTTTTATCTATATAATTAATAATTAAGCTATTTTATTAGTATTTATCTTTACTCTTTTATTATAAATTACTTACTCTCGTTAATTAATAATCTTCTTTACTTTTTTATTTATCTATTTATTACTATTAATATTAATATATATCGAAATCTAGTATAATTCTATTACTATTTCGAGATATCTTAGCGAATTAATAATCTATACTATTTATATTATATAGATCTATCTTAAATATTTATTTAAATCTTTAATAGTTTAAATTAATATTTAATTATTTATATTTACTATAACTTTATTAAGTTATAATTTTATTTAATATATAATTACTATAATTAAAGCTTAAAGAATATTATATAACTTTATCGAGTATATTATATATTAATCGCTTAAATTTAAATAGATATTAAAAATAGAATTAATATCTAACGATATAGTTAAAGCTTTTATCTTTTTATTAATTTTATTATTATCTATATATATTATTATATAATTCTTATTAATTAATCTTTTAACTAATTCTTTAACGACTTTTTTAATCTTATAAATTATTATTTTAAAAGACTCTTAATTAAGAGCGACGCTAAAAGAGCGTAGTTTCTTAATCTTATTAATATTATTATATTATTCTTTAAATCTATTAATATATCGCTTTAGTAAATTTAATTTTCTATTCTTCTTAGATTTTTTTTTAAATTTTTATTACTCGAATTATAGCTTAATAATCTCGCTATATATTAAATTAATAACGATTTATAAGATAGCTTTTAAGATAATTTTATCTAGCTATTATTTAATTAATAGAAGATATATTTTTATATTAAGTATTAAAATAAATATAATCTTAAATACTCTAATTATCTTTCTCTTTATCTAAGATTAAATTCTTTATAGCGATAAGAGATAAGTTTTATTATAGTCGATAGTATCTTTAGACTAATATTATATTAAGTAATAATATATTATTTATAAAATAATTATCATCTAATAGAGCTATCTTATACTCTTATAATTATTATTCTATATCGATCTAATAATTTTTATTAATATATCGATACTTTTAATAGTTTTAGATCGAATCTTCTTATTATAATAGCTTTATAGAAGTTTAAAGTTAATTTCGACTTCTAGATAGCGAATAAAGCGTTTTATCTTAATATATTATCTCTTATTAAGTTATAGAGAATAGTTTAAATTAAATCTCTATTTTCTATTAAGATATAGTAGTTAATATTTATTAAGATTAAACTTTAATTTATATTATAATATCTACTTTATATAAACTTCGTTATAGATTTTATAAAAAGCGTTATAATTTTCCTCGATAGAGTCTTCTATTATTAAAAAGCTTATATCATCTATAAAGTCGATAGCTATTATTTTTAAATTAATATAATTATTATATTTATTAATAAGATCTAAATTATAGAAGAGATAAAGTATAGACGATAGCGATAATTCTTAAGAAATTTCGATTACTATAAGAGTCTTTAATATAGAGTATTCGCTTATTTTTAATATTATTATTCTATTAGATAAGAACGATTTTATCTAATTAACTACTCTTATATTAATTTTTTATTTTCGAAAATTATAGAGTAATCGAGAATAAGAGATTTTATTATATATATTTAAAATATCTAGTAGTAATATTATAACTATTTTATTAGAGTTCTAAGCTTAATATATTCTTTCTAGAAGATAGTAGATATTATATTTATATAACCGCAATCTATAGTCTCTTATATATATAATTAATAGAAGTCTATATATCTTTATAAGATATGCTATTCTTCTAATAAAAATAAATTTTATTATCTTTTCTATAGTATTAAGTAGAGCTATTAATTAATATTCTTTAGAAATTAAATAATTTTTATTTAACTTTAAAAGAATAATTATTATTAATATTCTAAAGTATTTTAGATAATAGTCGTTTATTATATATATATTAAATATTCTATATAGATAAGAAAGTAATAATTTTAAAATCTTCTTAAAAATTAGATTAAAGATTACGTCTTCTCTTAAGACTCTCTTTAACGATACTTATATTATAATCTTTCTTATCTTATTTATAATAATTATATTTATTAGATAAATTTATAAATATATTATATTAACGCTAATATTATCTAATTTCGCTTATATTAATAATAAAAAGAATATTCTTATAAGAAGATCTATCTTTAAATTTAATTTATTATATTTTTATTTATCTTTATTAAATAGTAAAGAGAGATATATCTATATTATAAGTTATTTTCTAATCTACTTAATCTTTTTTTATATTATTTATAACGACTTATACGCTTTTACTATAAACTCTCTAAATATCTTTTTAATAATTCTCTTAATTAGATTATTTTTAAAGTTTTTAATAACTTTATATTTATTTTATACTTTTTTTAAGAGCGTTATTCTTTAACTTCTTTTTAGTAATTTATAATATCTTTATACTTTCTTATATTCTAGCGTAAATTTTAATTTAAATTATAGCGATAATCTAATAATCGAAGTAAACTTCTTTATAGCCGCTTAAATAGAGTTAATAATAATTACTATTTAATAATCGATACTATCGTTAATAAGATTTTTATTATTCTTCTAGAGATTAGTTAGATACTCTTTCGATATTATAACTCTAACGAATATCTCTTTTAGAATCTCGATATTTAGTTTATTAAAGTTTTAGCGTATTATTAATATTAACTCTATTACGACTAGCTTAAACTTTATAAAAATTAAAAAATAATTAAATTTACTTTCGAAATTATTTTCGATATTATAATTAATAATATTTATTATTAATATTAAAATAACAAATAATAGATCTATTATTATTTAATAGTTTTCTTTATATATTATTATTTTTATTAATAATACTTATTTTATAGCGAATTCTTTCGCTATAAGTATTAGTTTTTTTACTCTCTTATTAATATAAATATCTAATTCTCTTTATATTATATAATAAAGATTAAAGTTATCTAATATAATTTATTTATTATTTTTAAATTTTATAAGTATTTTATATAATTCGTTAAGTTCGTTTATTTATTAGTTATTAAGATTATAGATATTATATATATATATAATTCTATTATTTTTAAACTTAATATTAAGAGTATAAAGATTTAATAAATAATATAATAAGTATTATTATTTTAATAATATTCTCTTATTAATATAGAAGTATATTTATATATTATTATAATAGAGGTAGATTAAATTAAATCTATTTTTTAAAAGATAATACGATATATTTATATTAATATTTCTCTAGAGCTTTTAAATTACTACTATATTAATATTATAAATCTTTTTATTATTAAAGAATTCTACTATAATTATTCTAAATTTTCTTATATTATATTATAGTATTAATAGCTAACTAAGATATACTACTATTTCTTAATATTATTATTAATATTACTTACTCACTCCGCCTAGTCTATAAAGTCTATATTCTCTTTCTAAGTATTCTTCTTTTCTTAATCGTCGATAAATTAAATATATCTCTTTTTATTCCTATTAACGAAAACCGTAATTCTCTTATTACTACTCTTTTAACTTAAAGGCTATCTATCATTTTCGAAATTATTAATTTCCTCTATTATTATATCATTCTTATATTATTTAGCTTCGTTTACTACTTTAAAGAATAATCTATTTCTAAATAAAATCTTTATTAATAATATAAAAATATATCTTCTTTTACTTAGCTAGAGATTCGATATAATAATTCTTTTGAGGTTTAACGCTCTAATTTCT